CCCCACCCGAGCAGGCCTGCCAGTCTGTGGGCACAGTGTCTCCTCTGTCCATCCACCCAGCCCTAACTCCACCCAAACAGGCCTGCCAGACTGTGGGCACAGTGTCTCCTCTGTCCATCCACTCAGCTGTAACTCCACCCATGCAGGCCTGCCAGTCTGTGGGCACAGTGCCTCCTCTCTCCATCCACTCAGCTGTAACTCCACCCATGCAGGCCTGCCAGTCTGTGGGCACAGTGCCTCCTCTGTCCATCCACCCAGCGTACTCTCAGCCCTGTTGGCTGTGCAAACCAGCAGGTCCCAGGCCACTGCATGCATGTCTGTGTGACGACTTGTTTTGATTAATTTGCACAAGGGTGTAGATTCTTGTTTCAGAGATATGAGATCAGAGTTATTAGACCTTTTAACAGACCCGGTCTTAGACCGGGAGGGGCCAGCCTATTCCAGAATGGAGTGGGGGGGGGGACACTGGGGGCAGGTGTTTCACGCAGGTGTCCGGTGCTCTGCGCAAATATGCTTGGTCTGATTATAACAGGTGCACCTGCTTCCTGCCTCATTGGCTTCACCACGCATTTACTTAATCCCTAACTTGTTTTAATTAGCAGAGCCCCCCTGCCTGCCCCCCAGCTGAGTGGATTCTAACCTCACTAACAGGGCTTATGATTACAGCATCGCACAGCGCCAGCCCGTGGCGCCGTGCAGAGTGCAAAGTGTGACGGCAGCCGTGTGGGAATTTCAGAGGGAGCCGTGAGTCAGGCGGACCCTGACGGGGGCCCCGAGACGAGCCCAGTAGCAGCACCGGTGGTGACCATTCATGGCCGCGGCAGGGAGGAAGGCCTTCAGAGCCGATCACTGCAGGACCAGTAGATGTTGGCACTTGCTAATGAGCCAGGCTGATTTGTGCACTGGAACCTAGGCCAGTTTTTAGCCAGAAACCAAGGCCTGGCCAATAAGCTGGGCTGACTCTTACATGCAGATTTGGCGCTATCCAATGAGCTGGGCCAAATGTCACATAGAGATTCAGCTCTGGCCAGAATGAGCAGAGCCAGAAGAAAGCTCATATTGGTCCACTGGTTACCGTTCTGTAACCTGCAGTCCTCACAATATTTAACCCTCTGTTCAAAAGAAGGCCCCTGACTAGATTAATGGTTAAGGCATTTGCATCTACTCATTGCAATCCAGCTGAGTGGGTTCCACGTTCTGATGATGCCTATAACTATCTGCCCCAGCTCCATATAGACAGATGTTTCATGGTTAATAGACAGATGCTGTGAATGTGCACAGACCAGACCATGAGCAGCATGAGGTCCCTTGGAGGTTTGGCACTCAGCCCAGTAACACCAGTAGCCTGGGTCTTTGCTGTGAGTAGGGTGCTGAGGAGCATGAGGAACCTGCAGCTCCGTATTCAGATAAATGTGCAGCGCTGGAGCTCTAGGTGAGGGTTCAGCTGGCAGGGAGTCTGAATTATTCATCGAGGAATTAGGCCGGCAAAACTGCTCATCTGTCTGCACAGACGGCATCCTGCAGGTGTGCCCATGAGCTTCAGTCCGGCGTAGCAAATAACGCAGCATCTTTGGGGTGGGGGGGTTTAGTTCTTATGGAAGCAGGGTCGCCATGGTGATTCATTCTGCTCATCAGGTCTGTCTTCCTGATGATTGTTCTTGTCCAGCTGAGGGATTCATAACTCTAAGTGCCGTCTTCCTGGAAGATGCTCTTCCACGTCAGAACTGTGTGCAATCCACCCCCCGATTCCCCGGCCTTCATTTTACTGCTGTTGATGCCTGAGAAACCTCAGGGCGCATGACCCAAATAAGATGCTTTTTAAAGCTGCTTTTTTAAATAAGGACTTTGTGGGATACAGATCAAGATGGTCCCTCGGAAGTAGGCCGGGTCTTGAAGGGGCTCACCCTGTCTCCATCGTGTCGCTGCACCAGGGACCGTCTCAAAAGAGGCCAGGCAACTCCAACAACTCAATCTCAGTGCAAAATTATAAGGACAGAAGGAAGCCGGGTCCCACTGATCCTTTGAGTGCCAGGCTGTGAGAGAGACGTCCTGGATACTTATAAAACTGAAATGAAAAAATGAAAACAAATTTCATTCAGTGTTTACTTTGCCCTTAGCCTGAAGCTTTTACTGTCTCAAAAGAGATAGCTATTAGAAAGTGCACAAATGTGGTTTAAGTGACTTTTTCTGCTTTTTACATTGATACTAAGTTTGGTAGATGTATCACACCCAGTGAATTCTCTTATTCGAATTCTCTCAGTGTCAGTAACAGTGCGCAAGGCATTAAACTGCACATGCAAATCCTGGTAAATGAGACACAGTGCACTTTCAGTGGGTAGGTTTAAATTACTGATGGATTCTGTCCCTTGTGGTCCAAAGAGCAGCCTTTCATGTCTTAATGGAGGAGCGCACGTTGAAATGAAAATGTAAGTTTTATGGTGTGGGTTTCCTGCAGCACAGAGTAATGGTGTAGTAGGAAATGGTATAGGCAGAGTGTTAGATTATGGATGTTATGCAGCAGGGTGATGACCACGGGCAGACTGTGTATATTAGGAAGCAGAGAGGGGTCCTTGGGGCACATGGAGGTAGGCGTCCTGCTCAGATGCCTGCTGCTCCTGTCCCCAGCTCCTGTGGAGGCCCACTGATCAGCCGTCACAGTACAGGGGAGGCAGCATGGCCCAACGCCCCATGGAGATCATCTCGATACCAGCTGCCGCACCCAGGAGGAGGCCAAGAAACGTGGGTCGGCACAAATGGAGCCGAAAGGGAGACATTCAGCCCAAAGTAGATGGGGAGTAGATCAGCCGTGAGGAAGACAGAGGGGCAGGGAAGATGGGGTCTCATGCAGATGAAGGGAGAGGAAGAGCAGGGAGGAAAAGGGAGAAACCAAAAGGGATGAGATACATTCTTCAGACTTCAGAGAGCAAGCATACTGCACGTAGGCAACTGGCACCAATGAACATCAAGGTGGTATCTGGAGCAGGCAGGATTAGCGCTGCCCATGGTCACCCTGGCACAGTCAGGGCAGTTATGTTCTATGGGGGGGCCAATCTGAGCTTCCTCATGTTGGCAGGGGCCATTTTTAATGATTATTGTCCCTTCAAAGCAACCATTATAGACTTTGTCTTTATTTTTTTTAATACACATAGAAATCAGTAGAGCTAGTGGATTTTTCTTGTTTATATTTATTATTTTTATAATTCATGCAAAGAAAGATTTCTAGGCCAAGATAAATTCATCTGGATAGATGTGAACATAATGCTTCACCCAACACACAGGTTGACTTTTGCCCAGGTCTGATCTAAGAGTCCGATACTATCAGCTCCTCTTCAGTGCTATTCTGTGGTGCTGTGCTATTCCAGCCCTCATCTCCTTACTGAGTGACCACCTGACCAGCCTATCTCTCTGAGATACTGTGGATGTTACATCCCACATGCTAGGTGTCAAAGGAAAGGTTTTTCGCCAATGAGCCGAAGGGAAACCTGAAGGGAAAGTTTAAGTCCAACGTGGCTGGGCGTATACTTTAGCGAGCCAATGAGAGAGCTGATATGAGTGCTTGTGGAGCATGAACGAGCCAATGAGAGAGCTGGCACGCGTGCTTGTGGAGCGTGAATGAGCCAATGACAGTGCCGACAGAAGAGCTATGGAGCGTAAACTAGCCAATGAGACAGCCGACAGTAGGGTGGTGCTGTGTAGTGTGAAGTAGCTAGTGAGAGTGCCAAAACGTGTACTATGGAGTGTGAATGAGCCGACACGAGTGCTATGGATCACGAACAAGCCAATGAAAGAACCAACACGAGTGTTGTGGAGTGTGAACAAGCCAATGAGAAAGCTGACACGAGTGCTGTGAAGCATGAACGAGACAATGAAATACAGAGCAAAAAGCTGCTGATGACGCCGCAAAGCCCAGCCTAGGATTATAACATGCATCTTTCTGAAAAGTGATCAAAAACCTTCTTATTGGATGCAGTGGAAGCACAATCTGTACTTACCATTAGGTTGAGATGAAAATGCCATTACTTTCATACTCTGTCTGTGTGTCTCCTGGAAAGTTAGATGAGGTATGCAAAAAGTTGCTAATTTCCCCACGGGAATAGGTAAAGTATCACTATTACTGTTACTACTATTAAATATCAATCAAATACCTCAAAAAGCAAAATGGGATCGATGCCATCCTCATGAGGATTACTGTTCTTAATGTATCTTGTCCTCCTTAGTGCCTTTTCCTTGTCTTGGTTGACTGCTCCTGGAATCTGTTTTGCAGGCACACACACACATTAAAAAGCCACCAGGATATGAATTGCAGTCTTATGGACATCCCTTACCCAGTCTGTGAATATCTGTCTTTTTATAAGAGCACATAAGATTTTGGTTTCCACCTTCTTCATTCCAAAAGAATAAGAAGAAAAATCTTATGAAGCTTTTGTCATATATTGTTCTTAAACCATGGTTAGCATTTCATCACGTGCCTCAAAGAGTGTGGAGGGACAAGAATGAGTGCCATTGTCTTGTAATCTAGCATCCGTCTTGGGTGCTGCATGTATGTTAATGAAGAAATTAAAGGCACCATAGGGGCTATGGTGGTAGCACCTTTAAGACCACGTGTGACTGACTCGCATGGGGTCACTGGGTGCTTGGTGGGGTTTGGGAGGTAAGGAGGGAGGAGGGCGTGTTTTATTATAAACGTTAGATGAATGTGCTGCTTATGTTTTCCCCCCAATTTTAAAATACCCAAATCGAGCAATTCCTCCACAACAGCAGGTGGTGCCATTTCTTCGTAGCCTTTTATTTTTTTAGCTTCAGATATGGGAAACTTGCACCAGACTAGGTTGTCCCTCTGCACATACGTAGTGTCTCACTTGTGCTTGTATGTTTGAAGATCCCAAAGCGAATGGCGAGGCAGCTAAGGCAGCGCTGGCCAACGAAGACTGTCCTCATATAGACCAGGCCATGTCGCCTGAGGACGCCCGGGTCATTAGCCCATCCGACAGAAGCGAGCAGCCGTGCTTCCTCCTAACCGCGGCCAAGCGGCCCAGCCACGCGGGGGGACAAGTGAGGAAGGGTATGTAACAGACAATCACAGGCTTTATCCCAAAAGCACAGGCCTCTCACTGCAAACAATCAGGAGCCAGACAGAGTCAGAGTCAGAGTCAGAGTCCTCTCGGGCAGGTTGTGGACTCACACACAGGTGTCCAGCTGAGTCAGGTGTCCTTTCAGACAGGTTGTGGCCTTACACACGATTCAGATGACAGCGAAGAAGCACATTACACAAATAATGTCCATCCACATGTGTTATTTCACCTCTACACTGTGAATTGCTATATCTGTTCCTTGGCCAGCTACCCTGAACCATTTCACAGCTTCACAGCCCCCCACCCCCAAACTCCAGCATACAGAACACCAAACGGCAGGATCCCCAACACCATCGCCTCCCTACACCTTGCCCAGGTACTGGCTTCAGCAGATCTGCATTCTGGTTTGGCATTCTGACACAGGACCACGCCCCTCCACATGTTAACCACGCCCTTCCCTACTCTAACCCCACCCCTTCCTTACTCTGCTTGTCTCCCACCTTCCTGAATCCTTCCCGGCATGAGACATGGCACCTCTGGTCGGACCTTCTTCTCTTAGCTCCTCTTCCTCTCCTGTCCTCCTCCTCTTCCTCTCACCTGCATCTTCTTTTTTAAAAAGAATCCAGGGCTGGTAAATAAGGGTGGATAAAATAAATCTGTGCAAACATCTGAATCATTGTACTCTTGGTTTGTTCATGTTCATTTTTAAGAGCATGGTCTGAGAGGAAAACGAATCTCACAGTGATGCATTTCTTGTTGGCACCCCTTTACACATTCTACCCCTTCCTAATTCCTTTCAGTCTCTCCTGCTGACCATCTCGAATGTTTTCCAGACCTTTTGATAGTTTTTCTCTCATCCACGTTTATACACTCAAAAAGAAACAGATTTAGTCTGAGCTCTGGATCGACCTTAACCTTCCCTTTTTCTTTTTCTTTGTCGTTTGTTTGTTTTTTGTTGTTTCCCCCTTGCTGTTTGTTTGTGACCTCTTTTTTTACCATTCCCATGTCCTTGTCCTGCTCTGCCCTGTAGCCCCGCCCTCCCTGGGGCGGACCTTGGGAGAGGCCCCGCCCCCTCTCAGCTCCCAGCTGTACCCTCTGCTGCAGCTAAAGTGGGTGCACTGCCAAGAGGACAGTTGTGCTAAGCTAACACACTGAGGCCCTGCCCACGCCACAATGACATCCAATCGTCTGGCACCGAAGGCCATCCCAACTAGCAATGAGACTCCGTGCACCTGGCACTGAGACCCCACCCACATTCAGCGTGTCACCAGTCACTCAGCACTGCAGCCCCTCCCACTGGAGACAATTAAAGGGCCGTGCAAGATTATTTTAGATGATAAGGCTGAGGCAATCCCTTAGCACAGGGTGTGGGTCAGACGTGAGACAAAGCAAGATGGATGATGCTCAGTAACCTTTAAACTGGGCTCCAACCTTTAAACTGAGGACAGTTAATGGGAACCCATCCTGACGAGGAAGCCCTGGTCCGCTCACAGCCGGTACTCCCATGGCAGAGTGGAGGTAGGATGCTTGTCCCCCACCCACAGACCATGTCCCCCTGCCCCTACGGCCTCATCCTGGCTCAGGACTCAACCAGAAATGCAGATTCCAGCAGATCCCCACTAAAAAGTTGGGTTTATCACTCATGCCAAGTACCTTCCTCAACTAGGGACACCACAGCTGTGGGAAGAAAGCAGTTCAATGCTGACATAGAGAGGATACATGTGGCCTTAGTCTTTTTGTCAACTTGACTGCAGTAAACAGGCTTCTGGAACTCTTCATTCAAACTGAGCATGCTCCAGGTTCAAGGTCTTTATGCAACAAAATGCTTCCATCTCTGTTTGCTAGCCTAGGCTCAAACACAACCATCGCACAATTTCCTAGCTCGTCATCTCTGTCAAACTACATTACCCATAATTCAGCACTCATGCCACACATGCTCAGTTGTACGAATGAAAGTCCCAGCAATTCTGGAGCAGGAATAAATGCCACTGGTTTTCATTTAGTTCAGTTTCTGATATTTACATTTGCTATGAATCAGTTCTTTGACTGAAATTTAAAAAATATTTACAACATTCACAGATTCAATACTATGAGAGGGAACAAATTAAAGTTCAGGTGTTCAAGTGAAACATGATTTGATGTCTCTGTCCATACATATGTATTTGTGGTGTGAGTATCAGTCTGTGTGAGCGTGTGCCTGATGTTTGGTGTGTGCATGTCCTCAGACTGTCCGTGGTCTGCATGCATTCTGCCCCGCTCACGGCTGGTGTCACAGTGGTGATAGACGTGGGCCCCCAAACGTGTCACGTACTAAAGCTTTTTGAGCAGTTGGCTGGCGCCCACTCGTGCTGATGGGGCATGATGGACAGACCTAGATGGCAGCTCAGTACACACAAATTTCAAGATTTAGTTTGATTGGATATTGCATCAAAATTGAATTCGGCTCAGGGTGAGAGGTACTTGAGGAATTTCACCCTCACCGGCTATAAAGATGTGTCATGTGACAGGAAACACTATGCTAAAGGTCGTCACCAAAGCGTGTGGCCACCTGCTGCCGGTTTCATGCCGATTCAGACACCCAGGCGGATGCGGGATGTGGGTGGTCCGGTGGGATTTACCCTCAGGACCATCGTCAGCCCGCTGCAGGCCCTCTGTGACCCCCGACACCAGCCCTCCCCCCGCCCCCGCATGCCGGGGTCCTGGTTGCGCACAGTGCATGCAGGATGCAGCTGTTGAGCAGGCTGCTCTGTTTTTTATCAGACTGTAATTGAACAGATGAGAGGAGATACCAGAAATGAAAAGCACACCTATTGTCACATTGACCCTGTGCAAGGAGCCATCACTGCATTGCTGGTGAGGGCCGAAACACCCCAAGAAAGTCATCGGCGCTTGTGGCGCCGCCCTACAGGCCATGCTGGAGGTCCTCTCGCACCCACATTTGCTCCCACCAGCTGCCCTCGCCTACAATGTGTCGCCTTTGTTTGTTTCATTCTCGATCTGTTCCTTTTAGATTTTCACCCCCCCCCCCTCCCCCTTTAGCATCTCACGCCCCCGATATCCTCATTTGTATCACGTGTCTCCAAACAAGACAATAAAAACAACATAACAGGCCACACTTGCGCGCATCTGGGGAGGGCCGAGGTCCAGGTCACGCAGCGAGTGCCACCGTCAAGAGGTGCACCCCCTGCAGGCCCCCCCCCCCCCCAGGCAGTGCTTCCCCACGCGAGCAGTTTGGTTCTGCGCTGAAAGCAGTTTTGTCAGAGCCAGCAAATATCAAACTTGCAATCCAGAGTCCCGAAGAGCGGCCGTGTCAGGAAGCTGACGTCTCTGGAGCTGTCTGGTGCTGCTGGCTCTTATTTTATAGTGTTCAGCTATAAATCCTCGTGCCCTTTTCATTTCCATCACAAATACACGTTTTACATCTTCTTTAACACACATGTGCACCACCTGACAGACCACACTAAATCCCCCCCCCCTCCCACAAGCAGGAATGGAGCCCTTTTAATTGCCCCCTCCCAGTTTTACTTCTCCCTGTGATGTGCCTCTTTGTAAAAGCCCCCTTTTGAATGCGACGGCTCCCCCCCCCCCCAACGAGTCCCGTGCCGGTGTGCGGATTGCAGGTGCATGGCTGCGCCCGGTGCATGGACCGTACCGCCCCCCCTCGGTGCATTCTCTCTCTCTCTCTCTCTCTCCCCCACCCCCAGCCACATCTCTACCTCTCTCTCTGTCCCCCATCCTCTGTTTTCCGGATCTTTCTTCCAATGACGTGTCAGACGCCGTCTCTCGCTCTTCTCTTTCTCGCTCCGGCGCCGCCGCCGTTGCTCTGGTTGCCGACACCCAGCCTTTGCGAACGCGTCGACGCTGAACACGGCCCCCGCGCCGCCAGTCACAGACCCCCGTAAAGAGGAGGCCGTCCTCGTTAAGTATATACAAGCTGAAACCGTGAGAGTGACCTGAAGCCAATCTGCCTGTTTCTGAGAGGAGGACGCTGCTTTAATGCCCCCCCCCCCCCCCCACAAGGCAAGGGGACACGTTGGACTTGGGGTCAGATAGACAGAGAGAGAGAGAGAGAGAGAGAGAGAGAGGGAGACAGAAAAAGTGAGACGGTGTGATGGGGTACCTTAAAGAGCCACTTATCTCAAAGGACAAAGTTAGTTTGTCTCTTTTTCGGAGAGAAAAGGAGGAAGACTTCTTTCCAAATCTTGGCGAGTATGGGACTTTTTTCGTCAAGAGGGGACAATTCATGGACAGTCCCACACAGACGCTGAAGAGGAACGCGAGAGGCACCAAGATAACGCACGTAGTACACAGAGAAACATAACTGCGAATTACACCATTAGCGATAACACGTTTAATGTCAGGAATCTGACTGTAGAAGACACCTATTTGTTTATTAAGCATGAGTTGCATGGGAAAATTAAAAGAAAATATTGTTATGAATATATGTAAGAACAAAAAAATATATATTTTCTCTCAGAAGTTCCTTACTTTTACATACCTTTGATGTAGCCAAAATATATGATAATAGAGAGCGTGTAGATGCTGTTTTTTAGCCGTCCTTCCTGTCGGTAATTTTGTATCGAATGACACCTGTGTCACAGAGGCAGCTTGGGTCATATTGACCACCCCTCTTTACCGCATCAGACACTAACACCAAGGGCACAAGTGGATGAAAACAGTCTCTGTGTTGTTTCACAAGAAAAAATCATTTAGGACGTTTTTGTTGGCATGCTTGTGTCCCTGGATCTAACGGAAAAAAAAACAGCTGGGGAAAAACATCAGACTTGATTTTACTTTTTCCCTGTTATTTGCTGTAATTACTAATGAATAGATCCCTTGTGAAAACTTTATTACAGTGAGACATTGTTCATATCGCATTACGTATGGACTTTCAACGGTGTTATTTTTGACAAAAAAAAAAGCAAGAAAAGACCAAAAACATGCAAAAAATATAAAACATAAGTGTAAGTCCTGGTCCTAACAGAAGGACGAGGCTGTGTTTTAATTGCTTATCTCTCAGTCAGACTTAAAAGAAAAATGTTTTATGCGCAGTGTATGCAATTTAGTACTTGAGAGAAAGCAGATGCATGTACTATGTTATGCAAACTAGGTAACTGCAGTAAGTAACAGATTAATACTAATAATTCTAGCATGAAATAAATTTTTTTATGAACAGCGTGCTGGGACTCTGATTTTATTAGCAGGAATGACTTCCTGCGTGCCTTTCTTCAGTTTGACCTCTGCTTGACCTCCCAGTGCAGCCCGCTGGGGGTCAAGGAGAAGCGAATTGAAGGCAGAATGACTGGAACAGCGCCCCCTGCGTGTGGAGGGGCAGCATGGCGAGTTGCAGAGCGGCATGGAGGCGGGAGCTCTGTCCCGCGGCATGGGGGGGGTGACGCGACGGGGGCCGCTCAGCATGGGCAGCACATGGTAAAGCTGCCGTTTACCATGGCGACGCGACGGAGCCGTTACTCTGAACACCAGTCCCATGTCACCATCTCCCCCCCCCTTCCCCGCCGGCTCGTTTCAGCTCCATTCATCATTGTCCCATCATCTCCCTCTTCGCTCCCAGATGGAAAATAATGCTGTTGTTTGTTTGTTTGTTGTTGTTGTTTTTCTTCTCCATGTGTCCTTAGAGAGCAAACGACGACCTCACCGGCGACCTCCCTCACAGTCAGTGTGTGTAATGAACCGTGATATCCCGACCACTGTGTGTGTGGCTGCAGCCTACCCCCCTCCCAACCTGACCGTGCTCTAGTCTGTCTGTGTGCGTAGACAAGCGTCGCCCCGGCAACCTGGACGCTGGAGGTGGGGGGGGGCAGCCGTAGACGTCTCACCCCGTGTCGCCCTCTCTCAGTGTAACTGTGCTCTGTTGCTGTGTTTCAGTCTCCAGGTGTAACATGTGCTTTTGTCTTTCTGTGTTGTAAATATCCTTCCTCTGTGCTCGTTCTGTTCGTACCCATAATCCTCCTAAAGGACGATCCCCCCCCCCCGCCCGTCTCCCTCACCTTCCTTTGCTCTCCAGGAATGGTCCTAACACAGCCAAACTGTTTCCTGTGCCCTCCGATGTTTCTGAACCTTAATGCCCGTCGCGCAGACGTGTTCCGTCTTATGAACGTTCATGCATGACCCCGGGGTGTCCTGACAGCTAACCTGAGGAGGGGGTGTGGTGGGTCGCGTGGGAGGGGAGGCACTTTTCATTCTGCTTTTGCGGTTGAAGGCTACAAGCCAAGAGCATGCCTGGTTTATCTGTCAAATTTGTGCAAACATGACTTTCAGCTCGGGTGCCAGATACTCATCAAATTTACCAAGATAGACTTGTCACTAGGACCTTAGTTACAGGGTTTCAGCATGTTTTTAAAGTTAACCGTCGTGCGAAGCATCTCGTTGGCCTTTGTGTTCTCAAGACCTGCTCCTTTGTGAAGCTCCCTCGTGTCTCCTGACCAAACCCAGCACCGGCGGGCTGGAGATCGGGAGCTGAGATGATTCTGCATCCCTATGATGCTGATATTTTCATAACTGGCATTAAGATTCGCTCATCGTGTGTCCACGTGACACATTTTTTTTTCCAAAGATTACTTTCTTCTGACTTTTGCAAAATTAAACCTTAAAAGCAAAATGAACACATCCAGAAAGGGCCAGTCGCTAATCACGGCTCCTGCCTGTATCATTTCACAGTTTCCTCTTTTCCTAGGAGACTGAACGCATTCATTACTGCTCCTTAATGTGGCCTAGTTGTACACCAGTATAAATGTGGGACAAGCAGCTTCTCACTCTGCTCCACTATGAACTCAGCTGCGGTGCCTGAACAGCAAGACTTAGCCGTGCAAATGTACAGGAATAACGGAATTCTGCTATCCAGAACAGCACAGGTAAAATACCTCTTAAGCTCAATTTATCTATTACACTGATAAAAGGCAAGTCAGACTTGATATTAAGTACTTATCCTGATGGGGAATTGACTTGGATTAATAAGTAGAGACAATCTTGTAGATAATGCATTTTCTGTTTTGATATTCACGAGGATTATTCGGACTTCAGTGAATTTGTAGTTAAATAGCAAATTCCCAAATTCAGTAACCAACCGGACGTAAAATGTAACAGGCCAAAATACCCCTGAATATGAATAAGCACAATACTCTGCATCAATATGTATGCGAGAATATGTGACTAAAGGAGCGGCTCTGAGTTCACAAAGGGTTATCGGTATAGAAGTTATTAAAGGCAGGAAACAAGCATGGGATTGAGATGTATGAGTGCAGTCAATTCCAAATGTGAAAAAGCGTATTCCCTGTGGTCCAGCTCCTTCTTGCTGGAGGGCTGCTGGGGCCACACCCCTAAAGGACACACCCATTGGTCCCTTATGGCCTCCACAGCCAATGAGGGCCTGTTAATGTACACCAGGCCTCTGGGATGTAATATACAAAATGACACAGAGAGTTAACGGGCAGCACTCTGCAGAGAAACAGCTGCAGGGCCTAAAGCAGACCAGGTCAGGGGCTCTGTAACAGCCGAGGCCCCCAGAGTCGGGAGATTTTCACAAGCAGATGGCCTGCCTATGCAGATATCCCCCCCCCCCCAGCACTGAGCAGGTTGTGTCCGGTATCCTGATACGTGCTTCTTTCTTGATTCTGGGTGCTTGATTTTGAAGGACATTTACTGTGCTGTTTCCTGGATGATAGCAGTTAAATAAAGGCTTATTTTACACAAAAAAAAACGCTTGTCTTGTCTTTTATTTTGACCTACATCTTTATATCCATACTGTTCCCTCACTCTCCTTCTCAGTAGTCCTGATGTATGAACTGAGACAGACAGAAAAAGCAGAACACAGATCACTGCTAAGAGGCTAAACTCTTCAGACTGGAACATGCTAAGATGATTTTTGGCTGCCGGAAGCCGTCGGGCCGTCAGTGAGAGTCAGCAGCTCGTCGGTTTGTGCTGCGTAATCAAAACTACTTGTTGAAACGGAGCGCACTGACTGGGCTGCATGTCAGCTGCCACCTCTAGGCGCGCCCGCATGTTCCGGCGCAGATTTACACAATCGATGGCAGTTGATTGTTCGTTGGCGTTGCCATCTGCTCGGCGTGCACCCAGCTTTGGAGCATGGCACACCGCACCGAGAACTTCATGCCAGGAAGGATACTGGCATCCATATTTATTTGAAGTGATCAGAAGATGCACCATTAAACAACCAACGTTGAGAAAGTCCAACTCACTTGGAGGACAGGCTGCTTCGGGGTGATGCCAGGGCAGATTTGCTGTCTCTGGCGCTCTACTCAAAAAGACAATCTACCCCCCAACCCCCAGTGGAAAACTAAATAAATAGTTAGCAAGTACAGTCAGAAGATCGTACATAGCTAGCTGGTTAGCAGAATGTGCTGCTTCAGCATCTCCTAAATAAGGCAGATGTTAATTCAATATTTAGTGCAGTGACTGTTTGTCCAAACCTCCAGGGCGCCCAGACCTCAGGGGCCCCATGCGAATGCAGGCTCTTAGTGGTGATGATTTTGAGCGCCGCTGGGGTGACGCTCCATCACACACAGGGAATCTGCAGCATTCCAGCCGCCTAGGGCTCCAGGTTAGCAAACCAACACACAGAGGAATCCACTAATGAAGAGCCAATCACCGCACTGCACACGGACATCCTAACAAGCTTGTGTTTTTCTCACCGCTTCTCTACTGGTGTCTTACGATCACATGCAGTGTTGCCATAGTGACACTCAGCATGGGGAAAATGAGGTAGTTTGTAGTGATGCGTGACCTGCAGCCTCAGAGAACACGCAAATCACATGCCTAACAACCCCCCCCCCCAGACACACACACACAAACACACGCAGATAAACCTCTTCAGTTATTCCCTATCCTTCATATTTATTGAAATCTATTGAGATTACCTGCAGATGACACTGCAAAGATTAATTTATTGATATTCTCATAAAACCTGTTTATTTTGTTTGTCTGCCCTGTAATGGGTGCGAGAAAATCCCCACAATAGGCACTGCGCTCACACTGTCGCATCCACAGCAAGCACATATACACTTTATACACTGCCTGGCCAAAAAAAAAAGTTGCACACTTTAATATTTTGTTGGACTGCCTGTGATTATGCTGGACATTCATCAATCCATTGCTTCCACGTTTCAACATCTTTTTTCAAACAGATTTGCATTAATTTCTCAACAAGATCTTGTATTGATGATAGATGAATTGAACCACTCTGTAAACTCTTCTTCAGCACATCTCAAAAACTTTCAGTGGGGTTAAGGTCAAGACCCTGTGGTGGCCGATTCATGTGCGAAAATGGTTCCTCATGCTCTCTGAACCACACTTTGACAATTCGAGCCCGAAGAATCTTGACTTTATCGTCCTGGAATATGACCATGCCTTTAGGGAAGAAAAAACCCATTGATGAGGTAACCTGGCCATTCAATAGATTCAGGTATTCAGCTGAATTCACTTCACTGCTGCATAACGTTGCTGAATTGTAATAATGATCCAGTCATTGGCTCTTAAGTACTAGCTGATTTAAGTTTAAATGATGACTTTGGTTTTGGCCAGGCAGAGTATTCGTAATATCAAACTCAGAATACTCCAAACATGCAGTTTCCAGACTGTTTTGATTCGTTTGAAGCGCGTTTCAATGTATCGTTCCAACGTCAGTATCAGAAGTCACGAGTGCTCCGAATGGCGCTTTATGATGTCACATTATGATGTCACAATGCCTCGAGTGCCTCTGATGCTTTGCCTCAATTTGGTATAAAAAAAGAAGTGTGAACCGTAGATCTGGGATCAGGAGATGCTGACCCAAAAAAACACCTAAATAGAAAGTATAAAATCATATCTCACATCCCTGTTCTGTGATTGGCTGCTACTTGACATCACCTCACCTCAATGTAAACTTGTCAAAGTTACGTAAAGCCTGCATGAAGCTCCGCTCTTTGGCTCGGTCTCTTGAGTGCCTTTCATCGAGCCCTGGAGTTACCGCAGTCTGTTTTTATGTTTCCGCTTTTGACTCTGAGCCTGTGTAAGATATAGCACCCTGTTAGCTCCATTTAAACCTCTACTTAAACACTGACCTTGAATAAATTAGAGCTTCGGAGTTGTAGAGTAAACTGCACCTTTGTCCATCCTTGTCCCCGGTGTTCAGGGCTGGATCTTGGCATCGGCAAAGAAGGCAGCTACCTTAGGGTCAGTCAACCTGAGGAAACACCCGCCTCCCCAATAGCCAAAATCAACTAAGGCCCCCCCAGTTTGCAAAATATACCAAGGAGGACCCTCTGAAATTTATTTTGAGTTATGGGTCTTGCCTAAGGCTGCTGGTAGATCCAGCCCTGCCCATGGTGATACATTTATAACCTGGAAGGAGCACGACCCAGACCTGCTGCTTGAGATGCTTTTGATGTAAAACGCTTGGTTTGCCAGCATCATCTGGCATGTAATAATAGTACAATGACAATGTAACGATACCTCCGAGCAAAGTATCCAGATTCTCCGATTGCCAGCACAACACAATCCGGTGTCATAGTAACTGTAGTTTCTGTATACTCTATGTACTCGCCCGTATGAATGAAGTCCATTCTGCACCAGGGGTGGGCAACCTGTTTCATCAGGGGCCAGTGAGGCTTTTTGGGATGACTTCTCATTCAGCCAATAATAAAACAGTGGATCTCAACTCCAGTCCTGGGGACCCACTGTGATTGGCTGATTGAGGCCATCCCAACAACACACAGCCACACCGGCCCTCCATGGAACAGGTTCCCCACCCCTGTTCCACATGCTTCACTTATTTTAAAGATTATCGGAACCATCAGGCCAGCAGATGTCACTGCAAGGCGACGCTTCAAACACTTCCAAAGATATCTTCTCCCTAACTGTCTCAATCCATCAAAAGCTTCACATTTTCAAAAATGAGATTGTTATATTCAGCTGTTTCATTGACTTTTATTTCACTTTGGTTATACTGAGTCAGGGCTGAATTAAGAGTTTTTACCTATTATGGAGATGCAGTGACCTGTCAGCCCTCTCGAGGGGTAAACACAGGAAGCGCTGCAGTGTGAGTAACGCTGGGGAAGGAGTCACTGCTTGTTAAGCTCACGTCCTTTCATTTCAGACTAACACAAATAGGAAGGACCACAATGGCCCCTCACATTAATTCCGTAAAGTTGAGCATGAAACTCCAACCTCAACCGCTGCTATGGAACATGGATATTAACGGAAAACATTGTGGTTCCTGTGGAACAGCTTCAGAAATGTGGCTAAACCCCGTGGGAGGAAGAGCTTCAGGTTCAGGAGAGACTCTGCCCAGCGTTTAATCACACAGCAGCAGGGACACACTGGAATCTGACTAAGCAGGAGACACCGCTGGTGGGCTGGTTCACTGGGGGTTTCCCACTGGATAGAGAGACCTCTGCAGATGAGTTCATGTGGCAGCGCTGCTGCTGGCCCGGGGCGGGGCTTCTGCAGAGCCAGCCAATGGCACGGCGCACAACGCCATGGAGTGCCCAGCCCCACAGCCAATTAGGACAGGCGTGACCTGGCGTAACGCGGCGATGGGGGCGGGACTGCTGACATCCTCGCAGGATCCATCTCCACACATACCGTGCTCGTTCCAGCCCCACGAGACCAGAGCGCCACCTGCAGAATGACAGGGAACCTGGGTAGATACAGACACGGATAGACACTCTGCGCTGGGATAGCAGTACAGACCTAAACATTCGGCTGATTAGTAGCTAAAACACTAAAGCATCGTTTACCCCAAAAAAAATCCATCTTACCAACCTGCTGCTTCACCCAAAGCTGAAGGTCTCAGCAAGGGGTCAATGCAGGGGAAGACATGCACCGTGACAGCCCGACGGAGCCTGTCTCCATGGCAACGCCATGGCACTCATTCCAGGGCAAGCCTGGCCCTTCTGCTCGTCCACCTGGCCATCCCTCTACGTGCCCGATGCTGATGGGATGCCCACCAGACGCAGGCTCCCCCTCCCTCCTGTCAGTAACCAGTCTGAGGCCCATCCATCCATCCATCCAGTGAGTACTGCCCATCCCGACGAAACAGCGCCACCATGCGGCAAACGACCGCCTGCCGTTACCAGGTGGCATTCAGACATACTGACAGAGGAGTACGAGGAGTCCTGCTCCGCGCCTTCATCCACGGGCAGAGCGGGTATCCCTGTCCATTGGGAAGCGGCAAGCCAAGGAGCCATTATAGAGGCAGTTTCCATGGCGACCATGTTAAACAGCCTCACGTTCGGCGTAAAATGTGCTTTTAGGCAGGAAACAGCTACCCCACCCACCCCCAGGATGGCAGCTCATTCGCACACGGTACGGTGTCCAATACCTGGCCCAAAGACCGTCAGCCAATGAACAGTGTCTGCCCCTTGTATCTGTGGGGATGCAGCTAATAGAGACGGAGCAGCTACTGCTGCATTCATAGCAGCGATGACGTATGCGGGATCATGGGATTATCAGCTATCACTGCACAAGAAAGGCATCAAAACATGCCGCAGTGAAACAAATCAAATGCAAGTGGAGTTGGGGGGGGGGGTACACAGATAGAGATTCTGCCCAGACCCTACAGCATCTCAATGGAGGAAGCTACCAGGTGTCCGGCGACTCCTGAGGCAAATGGAGCACGGCGTGGCGGCCTGGGGGTGTGGCGGCCTGGGGGCGTGGCTGCCTGGGGGCCTGGGGGCTGAGCCAAGGCTGAGGGCCACGCACAGCAGTGCGGTTCGTCTGCGCATGCTGCCGTGCCGACACCTCGAGGACACGCTCGCTGCTCACACCACCTGACGATGGCCACCTGTCGGCACGTCAGAGAACAACCTCCGCTCCTGGCATCCACGGCCTGTTTAAAAGCACCCCCTTGGCAGTGGGGGGGGGGGGACACACGCCTCCTACACTTCCTCCCCAAAGGCCCCCCCCGGCATTCTCTTTGTACACCCCCCCTCCCCCAGGAGCCCCACGCTTCCTGCCCAGAGCCCCCACCCCCAGCTCTCTCTCTGTAGATCCCCCTCCCCCAGGTCTTTATAAATAACCCGGGGGTCAGTTCATGTTCACACCCTGCCACAGTGTGTGTGAGAACGTGAGTGCATGTCTCTGTCTGGCTGTGCGTCTCTGTCTTCCTGTAATTATTACTATGTGAGGACAGATTTGCCCACAATGTGATAAAAACTTTTTACCTTGTGGGGACATTTTTTTTTCACTCCCCACAAGGATAACCTCAATTTTATAAACAAAAAAAAAAAATCTATGAATGCCATCAAAAAACTAAACATGCCAAAAGTCTCATATTTTGTTTGCTTAATTGTGTTTAAGGTTAGAGGTGGGTAGGGGTTAGGTTGTCATTGTTGGAATTAATTTATCCATAGAAATGAATGAGAAGTCCCCACAAAGATATCTGTATGTGGACTGTGAGCGTGTGTGTGTGTGTGTGTGTGTGTTACTCTCCTTAGCCTAGTTCAGTTTATTTATACCCACAGGCCTCGGCTCCAGGGAGGTGTGTGGGCGGGGTTGGGGGGGATCCCCAGGCACACAGAGGATTGGGGTCAGGTCCCACTCCTGCTGGATAGCCTGTCATCCTGCCCTGAGACCCAGGTCCATCTGGACCCACACACACACACACGCAGGTTTGTAGTTATATCTTTGTGGGGACTCTCCATCCATTTCTACAGGGAAAACTCTAATCCCAGCATGACGACCCTAACCCCTACCCAGCCCTAACCTTAACCATAACTAACCAAACAAAATATGACACTTCTGGCATTTTTAGTTTTTGCAGTCACAGATCATTGTGGGGACATTCAATGTGATATAAACATAATCCACACTCACACCGACACACACACACAGACATGGACAGACACACACACAAACTAACGCACTGTAGCAGTGAGATCCGTCCCTGGCACCACAGACTGGGGTGGGGGTGTCAGATGAAGACTCACCTACGACAGCCAGGCTGTGCTCCGAGCCACACGCTACCTGGGGGGGGGGGGGGGGCAAAACAGGACTAAATTCATAGCAGATCCTGCTGCAGGTGGGTTAACATCAAAACAATGGCTGATATGGAGAGAAATGCACTACAAACTGCAGGCTGGGGGCAGGGAAACTCCGCCTCACCCCCCAGTCCGCTGCAGGACCGACACGTCACATGTCAACCACAGACGACATGATCAGCCAAATTCCCCCCCACACTCCCCGCCTCAGTCGGCGCGACACACACAAGTGCTCCAACCAACCTTACAGCTTACAGTCCCCCCTCCCCCACTGTGTAATCCTCGATGACGACTCAGCCTTTTCCCAACTAGAGTAAGGAAGCACTGTGTCGGAGTGCAGAGTGGACCGACTGCACCCATTTCGGAGCATTACTGGGAGAGCCCGTGTCAGGCTTAAGCTTGGGACGCTGGAAACATTCATAAACAAAATGCATGCAGTTTAGGGGAACTGTTAGCGCAACACTGTGCAGACACATTAAGATCTCAAACTGTACAGTCCCCTGAATCCAAATAAGAGAGCGCCTTCTAGTGGTAGGAGATCAGCATCATTTTCCATGCACCAGATTCCAGGCTTCTACATACGCAGTGAATGGCAGAATGGCAGAGACGACCACAAGACAAAGCAAAGGTTTGAGCTTCCAAAACAACCGTAGACTGGATGGACACAAAACAGTCCTTCAGGTGCCCTGAAGAGAACTGGAAATGACACTGGAAGTAAGGGATTTTTAGTGCACTGCTGCCCCCTGCTGGCCATTCCCAATAGAAACGATAATGAAAGATCCTCCGCATTAGAACATGTAAGAAAACAACATACAGAAACACATGCACAGCTGACGCCTCATGCCACTGGAACTGCTCACGGGTTCCCTTCCTCCAAGAAAACCGCGGCGAGTCCAGGGTTCCAGTGGGAGGAGATCGGCAAGCGATTTGGAAGGAGCCATCGCCGTTGTCATGGCGACACGCCTCAGCTGAGGAGCAACGTAGTCGCTAATGCGTCGCTCGAGCATGTCCCCCCTCCAGCCCTGCGTGCTGCTTTACCAGCAGCTAAGTGGGGGCAGTTAAGTTAAAAAGGGGTTATGGAGGTTACTGGGAGCTAAGGGCCTCGCTCAGGGGCCAATGGTGACCTTCAGATCACAGGCATAGCGTTCAAACCCACTTAGCCCAGTATGATTATCCTATGCCTACTGGAAAGCACCCATAGTGCAGCTACCCATAGTTGAAAGGCAGACAGAAGATGGAAGTCCTCCATTATAACTACAGAGTTATGCACGGTCACTCAATATGTCACACGACATTGAGGAAGACCCAAAAAGGGCACTTACAACCGCCATGTTGACCATGGTCACAAGGTACATAAAAAAAAACATTTACAGTTCAGGCACAGTGACAATGAAACTACAGCCATTAAACATCAACCTCCCTAGAAAAGCTGAACAATGCAAAGCATTATTATTACCTGTGTGGCCCCAGTAAGGGCCTTCACCTCCATAGGGTGGCACGCCATTGGTCTGGAGTATGCAGGTGGGACATCATCTGACAGAAGACTCAAATCCTGATTGGTTTGCAGTGCCCTGCCCAGCTGTCCGTAATCACCCCGCCCCCAAGTAAAGACCCTGCCACTCTCTGGAAGGGAAATATAAAATATCCCTGTTATGGTGAGAAGAGTACTGTACAGCACATTCAAAAAGAACAGTATACCACCACACGTTTGGGTTTAAAATTTATTCTTAAATTCTGCTTCTGTTTCCAGCCACACAGCACGATGATTAGGCAGCAGGACAAAAGCTTTCCTGAATCAGGGAAAAATCAATCCATTTAAAATGAGCGTTCATCCAATCATTTGATTAGCGATTAGGAGCCCATATAGGATAAAACCAGAGGGGTGGGGTAGCGTACAGCTTGGATGGGATACCAGCAAAATGTAGAAATATTACAGCTTCTGTGTCCTATGTTAAAGACATCAGCTGCGTGATAATATTACACATTAAGCGCAGTTAGTCATTAGACCACATTCTCAGCATTAATTACCTGTCCTGGCCACTAGGTGTGTCCAGCCACTCCACACATCCGTCACGGATTCTCCAGCCAGCAGGATGCGATCTAGGACGCGAGGGAGGGACTGGAAAGGCCCCGGGCCCCCAAGCTGACCCCGCTTGTTGCTGCCCCAGAGGAACACATCGCCCCCTGCTGGTAACCAGAAATTACAAACGTCAGCCGGCGCCAGCGGCCAAACCGCACCCTGTTGCGAAGTGTAAGGCTGCTCCAGGTAGGATGCCAGCAAGCTCACCAGTCAGGCAGACGCAGTGGGAGGCTCCAGCTGTCACTGAGTTTGGGGACACGGTGTCCAGGGCTGCGGGGACAGGAAAGGGGAGAGGGGGGGTCAGCTGACTACAGGAATGAAAGTGTCCCAAAATGGAAAAGCAGCACCAACATTTTAATGTTGAGCTTGGCGCTGTAAGGTGGCGTACGACAAAATTTGTGGAGCAGGGAGAGGGGACTCTTAAGTGGCCTCCTTCACAATTTGTGGCCCTGGGGAGGGATCACTAAAACAATTTCACATAAACAGAAAGCTTTACAACACTAAATTGCAGTTTAACTGCCTACACTTGCCCACAGTCTGACCCCACCTCAGCAACAAGACCAACAGCACTACGACAGGACTGCGAACAGGACTAATCATACTGTCACAAAATATATACAAGAACTTTCCCTGGAATGTCAATCAAGCAGACCGTGCTTCCATCTCCAGGCTTAACTAGTACCGCATGATCCAAGCAAAACCATTGGAATTTGTTTTATGAGGATGTTATATGAGAGTCCACGAAACACCAGTAATTTTTTACATGCAATTAAAATATGTAAAAATATTACCATAGTTGCAACTACGCAATTGTTATGTTACGCGGTGCAGACGAGCAGAAAAGCAGGCAAGCTGAGCCGGACTGACAGGTAAACGAGGTTTATTGCTTGCAGACGGCAGACAGGGACAGGACCAGGCACTACGTCAGACAACGTCAATGACAGAACTCCGGAATACAGGTACAGACGCCGACTAAATACACCAGACGGATAGGAAAGCACAAGGAACAGCTGATGACAATCGGGTAGCCACACGAGGATCGGACGAGCTGGGCGTAACAGTAATGATCAGTGTCACTAAATAATAGATTAATATAATCAGAGTAGTATTACAGGAGGCATATTTAAGAATACAAAAGTTAAGAGAATTTAGAAACCAATTTCAAAAAAGCAACAGTGACTGAGATGCAGTATAATTCTGGAATGAAAATAGACTCGTATGTAAAAATATGTGTTTCTTAAGTGTCTTTAGTCTTTACATTGCAGTTTTAAAAAATAATCCGCTTCTGGTCACAGGTTCCGATTCTGTTAAACCCCCCCCCCCATCCCCCGGCAAAGCCAGGTCCCGGCTCAGTACGCATAGCAATGGGGAACCCCGACCAAACAGGTACACCAGCTCCGTGTAAACACGATCGATGCTCAGCGGAACACGTCTTGCCATCAAACCAGAGAGGTTCTGCTGAAATCAGCGACAGAGCCATTTAGACTCTTAAGGAACCAGATGGAACCAGTCCCACATAAACCAGGTGAAGGCAGCGCGATGAAACGACATCATGCGACAGCACATTTACAATCCACCAGAACACCCGCAGAGAGGAAGCACTTTATTCTACAGAAACGTCAGGTCAGCATCTGTCACTGAGAACCAGGTTACACGTTAAAGGACATTATCTGATAGGCTGAGTCACAGTGAGGGGGTCACTCATCATATCCCTTTAAATAAAGGGCATTTTCCGACAATCTGTGCCACAGTGACAGGGACACTTATCGTATCCCTTTTAATAAAAGGCATGGTCTGATTGGCTGAGACTCAATGTGGGGGTCACTCATTATATCCCTTTTAATAAAGGGCATGGTCTGATTGGCTGAGCCACAGTGAGGGGGTCACACATCATATCCCTTTAAATATCCAAAAACTTAAAGGGGAGAAAAATATTTAGTGCCACACAGCGCATGTAATTATGGGGATATAGTGGCCAGCACTAACCTGGAACTGGGCAGGGCTCCTTGGAGGTGAGGTGGGCGGGGGGGGTCTGCGGGGCCAGGAGCCGCCTGGCCTCGCTGGACAGACCCACCCCCCACTGGTACACACACCCTGAGGCTGGAGAGAAGGGCCACATGGTGCATTGTAAGAGAAGCAGTGCTAATACTAACTGAGACAGTAGACTGCAGGACTGGTAACAAACATGAAAACAACAGCTGCAGCTCAGCACTCATCAATCACATATATCCAGATATATACTTTTAACCAAGTATTTCAGAATATTTATGATTTTCAGCAGCCCGACTCACAATCAACAGCCAGAGAGTGTCGAAGCCCTGCAGCCACACTGATGATGGGGGAAATCAAGGCCTGGGTTAAAGGTCAAAGGTCAGAAGTTACTGTCATACAGAGTCTGCTCTCAACACTTTATTATAATGTCACTACTCCACTTCATCACAGTCTTGGTGCAACACATCAATTAAAAAAAACATGCTGACAGATTGTGCTTGAAAAACCCGATTAAACAGTGAATTCATGACTCAAACTCATGACTGGGCTGTCTGTCTGAACGTCCTCCCACGCCCCCCTGCCCAAGGCATATCCCCTCCCCACCTCAATTGGCAAAGGCTTTGCTGTGTGCCCGGAGACCTGGGGGAGGCCCAGCTGGCCATGGGCATTCGAACCGCAGGCCAACAGCTGTCCACAGTCTGCAGAAAAAGAGAGAAGGGGAACTGGCCACACACACTAGTAAAACCACACGCTGGTCAGCCACATAACTGGAAAATGCTAGAATGTCCCAAAAGGAGCTGCAGCATCAGGGCAATTGAATTCTTAGAAAAGCCCAAAAGACAAATGTAGCCTTGGCTGGAATGTAGATTCATCCTTTGCCACAAGGGGGCAATCTTTCATCTAAAGTACACCAGCATGTGCAGATGCTGGACAGACTGCGAATGATCACACACCCGGACCTGCTGTACCAACAGGGATTTACAGCGTCCCACCTTCTTATGAACAGCAGGTCATCGACGCTCGGAGCAAACACTGTAAGAGCTATGAGATGGAGGCCCATAACACCCCATGTCCCTCAGTCAGCCTCAGTACTAACCCCCCCTCCAGGACTCACCATCCAGCCCTGACCCTGCATACGTCTCAGAAGCCACATATCTGCATTCCCCCGTCAGCCCCCCAGGCCGCGATCACTTCATTACTGCTTTGGAGGTTGACGTAACAGGTCCATGGAGACCCCAGTCTAATGATGCCATTTCAAAGATCTTTTTAAGCAGCCTGTGATTAGATAGCGGCCAGAAAGCGTGGCTCCACGAGGCCCCTAATTGGTCCACCGATTATACGATCTGTTCCTAACGATGCACTGCCGTCAATCAGATTCCCTCCATGATTGGGAGCACATGGCAGGACCAGGATCGGTTCTCCCACCGCCAGCTGACGGGTCAGGCAGGGTGGCGGCCTGGAAAAACACCATCTCTTCCGAAGAGGTCTGAAAGGTTAGCTGGACCAGATTCAATGGGAAATCCACTCCTGGGCAGAAATGCACGCAATTTCCCTACATTTACATTGTTTTAGCAGATACTTCTATCCAAAGCAGGATCAGGATCAGTCACTGGTAGGGAGAGAAAGATTCACTGACTCGCATCAGTGCACCAGCCCTGCGCCTTTATTATTTAGAAATGTGACCAATAATGTTATATTTACATTGATTCCCTGTATCTGTACCACACTGAAATGCATAGCATCACATTCTTTTGCATCGCATTGTATCACGTAGAATCGCAATCTGTTGAATCAAATTGTGTCAAATTGCACTGCATCACACTAGGGGTGAATCATATGGTATTGCATTAGTAGTTGCTGCATATGTATCTTTAACGTATCAGATCGTTGGAAATGCTTTGAGATGTGTAGCGCATTGGCCTCAGTGATGGAGATGCCCGTCCCAATTCCACGGAGCAACTGGGGATTGAGGGCCTTCCTCAGGGGGCCAATGGTTAAATCACTCTGCGAACCCTGGAATTTGAACCAGTGAGTTTCTGGTCATAAGAACAGCATCCTAATCCTCTGAACCATACACCCCCCTCCCTCCCCATCCACCCAAAGCTGAGAGAAGATTAGCCAGCACCTGAATAGCTAGAAAATACAGCTTGGGTACAGACCCAGAAGCGCAACTGCAGGGAACCTCACCTGTGAGAATGAGGGTGAAGTCCCAGCCGCAGGACACCTGGCGTACGGACCGCGGGCCCAGAGAAGGGCAGGGAACAAAGGCAGTGATCTGAGACGTATGGCCGAGGCCCAGCTGTCCTCTGTGGTTCTGGCCACACACCATCAACTGTCCCGCTTCTGTGGATAGTCAGACAGACACACCAGTGCGAGGTCACAGGATGCAGAAGCTGAGCCAAATGTCATCCGCAGCATTTGGCAAATTTGTTCATGAGATAAGATACATTAGATTTATATAATTAATTAGATAGATAAGATTTATATAATTATTTAAAGTCTAATATTACCTTCAGACGTGGGAGTACAACTGCGCCACTTCATCAAACTAGTTTAATAAGTTACTTTATCGATTCGACCTGACTCACCGGTGACAAGCGCAGAGTGCCCGCCGCCTCCACGCAGGCTGCGCGCCCCGGCGGTTGGTAGCGCGCACTCCGCGGCCCCGGGCTCGCACCGGTCCTCCACATGCCCCTGGCTCAGCTGGCCGTAGCTGTTAGCGCCCTACAGGAGCGTTGAAGCGTAGACCCTGCTGTCACAAAACACAGCCTCCAATTCCCTCACTTTAAACTTTTAAAGAAGACTAAATGTGCGGATATTATAAACTGCGCTTCATTATCAGATGTCATTATCGACATTAATAGGAGAAAACTATTACACATGTATCAGGGTGTAGCTTCGCTTTTGGGTGGATGGCTGATCAAACATATAGTTATCCGAAGAAAAAAAACGCAGACGCGCGGCCCGAAATCTAATTTTAATCAACTTACAAATCCTCATTTATCTTTTACATAGACTCACCCACGTGAACAAAGTCACGTCCAAAACATCCGAGCCTGAGTCCCTCATGAGAAGGAAGATCAGACATGGTCGCGATGAACTTCCGGTTGTGGCTCCTTCTGCGTACCGGGCCGGCCGCCATGTTGAATGTGTCAAATTGTACTTTTCGATCATTCCTTATACTGTATATTTACTACTGTAATTGAATGATAATCTATAATAACAATAACTTATTGTTGCATTATTTTAGTTATAATTTGAATATACAATTACTTTGTTCAATTTAAAACTAATTTCATTACTATATTTGTACATTTACATGTTGTCATTAATGTTTCTTTTTTATCTGCTTGTTTACAGTTGATTTAATAAGAATAATTTGTACAATAATCTATATGTTAGCAATCTTTCACAAAACTAGCAAACCTAAGTTTGTGCAACATTCTTGGTAATTTGGGTGAGTTAATCCATCAGAGGTAAAACGTCTTTTGGATGACTGGATACAGGGCTCTACAATGGAAACTGTTTATGCGTTTTGTTCTGAGATACACTATATAGACAAAGGTATTGGGACATACCTCTTAATCAGTTCAGGTGTTTCATTCAGACCCATTGCTACAGGTGTGTAAAATCAAGCAACTAGCCATGCAGTCAGGTTTACAAACATTTGTTAAAGAATGGGCCGTTCTGAAGAGCTCAATGAATTTCAGTGTGGTGCTGTCATAGGATGCCAGCTTTGCAATTGGTTAGTTTGTAAAATTTCTTCCCTGCTAGATATTCCACGGTCAACTGTAAGTGGTATTATTACAAAGTGGAAGCATTTAGGAACAACAGAAACTCAGCCATGAAGTGCCAGACCATGTAAAGTGCAGAGTGCGGTTCCACAGAGTGCATAATAGTCGTTAATGCTCTGTAGACTCAATGACTGCAGTTCCAGACTTCCTCTGGCATTAACCCCGGCACAAAAACTGTGTGGGAGTTTCATGGAATGGGCTTCCATGGTCAAGCAGCTGCATGCAAGCCTCACGTCACCAAGTGCAATGGTGTACGTTGGATGGAGTGATGCAAAGCAGAAAGTGAGTGTTTGGGGCGCTGTAGCACACCTGCATCTCGGTGTGACACGGTGTCAGGGTGACGTTTTTGTGCGGTGTAGCAGCTGCGAAGTTTGCTTTGCTTTTCGAAAAATTCCTTAAATATGGCGCCACAACCGAACACATGAATCAAATGGCCTCACCGTGTCAGGCCACCAGCTGACAAGCTCACTTTTAAAAAACACAAACACAAGTGTATGCACTCACCAACATGTAAACCAGTACATTTATTACATTTAGCCTAGAAACACTATAATTCACTGCATTTTATTACCACTGTTGTACTACTCCTGTCCCAGGGTGTCTACTGGGATCAAGGTATTTCCCAACATTTGGTTCACTGGAAGCTTTGCACGTCTGTCCTGTGACCTGCTGAATTACACCTAAACACCAGACTGGTTATTAGCCAAATACAGACTTCAGTTAAGTAGTTATCAGGCTGAGTAAATACCAGGTTACTCCGCAGTCCCTGAGGACAGCAGGCAGACACCTGAGGTGTGGTCTCAGATAAAAATCCCCGAAGCAGCTGAACATTCTTTGGAAAACATTAGACAGATATATATATATAGGAACACAGGAAGTCAGGTAACAGTCAGGTGACAGTCAGGTGACAGCTTTGTTCCCTCCGGAACCAGTCAGTGTGACTTTTAAACAATCCGGTTAAGATAGTAGCTCCATTTACTCTTCTAGCTGATTGTGATCTGTAAAACACTCCATGTCACATGTGGACAGATAAATGCAATTAATTAATAATAATTATGGAGGGGGAGGGCAGCAGAAACTGATGGAAGAATGAGAGAATAAGCAATAAGGAGTAAGTTCTCACATTGAGTAAGTTGTGAATGGGGGTGGAGTATTTCAGGAGCAAAGAACAATAAATAGATAATATTTATTTTCCTCCCAGGTTTCTTCTTTAAATCATGTGCCACAGTCTATGTGCGTGCAATTCTTTTTCTTTGGTATTGAGTCAGGGCTGGTGGAGAGTGGTTTACTAAGCACCCTTAGATATCTGCACAGAGCAGGGGAGGGGATCAGGAGGTGGTGGTGGGGGGGGGGGGGCGTGCCTGGCGGTGAGCCATAGGCTGCACAAGGAGCTTAGACACCCAGCTGCTTGTCGATTCTGCTGAGAGCATCTCCCNATGCATATATGAATTAATGTGTGTAAGTATGGAGGCGTATCAGTTTAAATGACGATATGGAAAATTGTTTGGGGGGGGGGGGGGGGGGGGGGGGGCGTGCCTGGCGGTGAGCCATAGGCTGCACAAGGAGCTTAGACACCCAGCTGCTTGTCGATTCTGCTGAGAGCATCTCCCACAACATCAAGCTCATGGGTCAGCTCCTCCAGAACCCTGTGGATGCTGGCCGTGTCCCTCAGCACGTCCACGCTCTGGGTGTAAGGGTTGTACCGCACCGTAAAAGGCCTCTTGATGGTCTTGGCAAACTCCCTGTTAATTGGAAAAGGATTATCAACATTAAGGTGACATGGAGGTGCTGGAAGATCAAAAACTCTTAGACTTAAGACCAGATGTACTGCTTGACTTCATCATCACAGATGAGAGAGATGTGTAAATGCTGATCAGGATGGACCAGGACCTTGTATCGCCATAATTAGCGTCTTATCAGATTGATTTGACAATGCAAAAGCCACCTCAGAAGGTATTCTCAGGAAGTGCCTACCTCATCTTAGCCTTGGCTTCTTCAAAGCTCTCCGACACGAAGTAGACATCTTGAAAGGTGGTGATGTTGCATTCCTGCTTGCAGGTGATGTTAGGGTCGAAGGGCAAGATTCTGCAGTTCCCAGAGAGTGCGTGCTGCAGTGGAAGTTCACATCAGCTTTACTGGCAAAGGTAAAAAAGCTACTGGCCCGAATGTCTGCCCAGTAAGGTAGATCATATCCTCAAAATAAGGCCTTCTTAAGGTCTGATGCTTGTGGAATCCCTGTACCTGTGTGGGGTTTGCATTGTATGCTGGGAAAATGTAAGGAACAAGGCACGCAAACATTAATAATACCCTGTTATTAACAATTATTTGGTAATGCATTAGGTTACACATGTAACGATGTAATTTGACACCAAGCCTCTGTGTGGCGCTCTTTGCTGTTTATAAAATGATAAAGTTTCGTACTCTCAGCTCGCTGGCGGAGGACAGCAGCCCAGCACCGTACGCCCGCAGCTGCCCATCCTGTTTGCACAGGCCGAACTCCACGGTGAAGAAGTAGCACTGGAACAGAGTACAGGAGGCGACATTAGCGCCACACGGAGGCCAAGCGCACGTCTGCCTGATGGCGGCGGGGCGCACGCTTCTCACTGTGGCCAGCTTCTGGATGGAGTCCTCAGAGGCCCCTAAGGAGGCCAGGCCCATCTCCTGTGAGAACTGTGCGAAGCTCGGCTCCGCCAGCAATGGGACGTGACCCAGCAACTCGTGGCACGTGTCCCTAGAAGCGGCGATCATAGACACACACGAACACAGAAGCAAAGGGCACACACACAGACAGGTAAGTCAGCCATCGCTCCTGGCACTGTATCCATTTCATCATCCCGGGAGGGGTGGGCCGGGTTCCTGTCGGTGGATGTGAGGGAAGGCGGACGAGTGCAGCAGACTCACGGCTCGGGGGTGTAGAGGGGTGCTGAACCGTGCCGAATGTACTGGGTGCAGTGGAACACCCGGAAGGCGAGTCCGGCCAGGAAGTCCCTCGGAGACAGGTAGCCAGCTACTGGGCGGATGCTGAAGCCAGTGCGCTCTGGAAGGGAGGTGGGGCATAAGGTCAGAGCAGATCACAGCTAACGCGCCCACACAGCCATACACTGAGACAGCCACACAGCCACACACTGAAACTACCAAACACACACACACTGAAACTATCAAACACCCACACAGCCACACACTGAGACTACCAAACACCCACACACTGAAACTACCACACAGCCACACACTGAGACTACCAACGACTCGCACACTGAGACTACCAAACAGCCACACACTGAGACTACCACACAGCCACACACTGAGATTACCAAACACCCACACAGCCATACACTGAGACAGCCACACAGCCACACACTGAAACTACCAAACACACACACACTGAAACTATCAAACACCCACACAGCCACACACTGAGACTACCAAACACCCACACACTGAAACTACCACACAGCCACACACTGAGACCACCACACAATGACAGTACCACACACCCCTACAGCCACAACCGCATAGTCACACACTGAGGCTACTACACACTGGCATAGTTAAACACTAGCTGCTCCTACTACCAACAACATTTCTTGGGTGTATGGTCCCCGTCTCACCCTTGAGGAAGCGCGACACATCGTCCAGCTGGGGGACGTTGTCCTCCCTGTAACCGCAGTGCTCCTTCAACAGCGGCAAGTTCGTCAGATACTCCCGGCAGGCATGGCTGGAGTACAGCTTGTTTAGCTCACGGAACACGACAGCCCACGTGTGAACCTCCTCCTCGGTGAACTCAACGCGAGGGATGGGGTCTCCGCTGACATGGGGCGACAGTCACCAAGAGACAGTTACCATGAGAATATTTCAAATAAAGCTGTGGCTATGACACTGTGCCCAAAAACTTTTCCCATTGTGTTTCACAATACTGAGATGCATTAATGAACACATTACTGTGCTTACTGTGAAAAAACAAGCTAATGAATTCATTGATTGCATATACGGTAGGACCCCCAAATCCATGGTCTCAGTAACTGTGGTTTCAATTATCCATGGTTTACTGCGACCCCAAAAAATTTGGAAAATTCCAGAAACAAACAGTTCATAAGTTTCAAACCGCGCCACGCGAATAGAGGCTGTAACATGGTGAAATCTGCCAGCCCAGTTACGCCCAGTACATGACTGGTCTCCCTTTGTCCCCACACCCACGCTTCCCTGCAAGACTCTCTTCCAGTCGGCCTCTTGCTCTCTCACTGATCACATTCATTGCTACTTCATTGCAGTGCCTGTTGTAAAAATCTCTAAAAAGCATCAGTTTCATTGCACCATCATCCCTTGACATTATATTTTTTCATTGCTTTGTCATCAGTTGAGAATTAAGCTAAAATGTCAGAATCCCTTTCATTCAAGAGAGTACAGTACTGTATAATGTATAGTGTACTTTATTATCACTGTACTTGGTAATGCCTTACTGTGCATAACTTATCAATTAAACTTTATGATATGTATGTGTACGAAAATCACATTATATATGGGGTCCACGGATGGTTTGCTATTATCTGGGTTGTCGGCCAACCAAAGTAGGTCTTGGAACGTACCACTTGCAGATATGGGGGGACCACTGTAATCTGCTTTGAAGATTAATCTTAATTTCTTTCTGTCTGTGCTAGTGTTAGCATTAGTGAAGGACTTACTGTTTGTAGTTCAAGGCTAGATCAGAAAACTCTTTCCTCCTCCGCCGATAGACATTATCCTTGAAGCCCTATGGATAGGGATGATGTGAGCACTGATGTTTACACAGTGATCACGTATCAGTTCTGACAAATTACAGTCCTCTCAGCTCCTTAAATTTATTTGTTTGGCAGATGCTTTTATTCGAAGTGGCACAGATTTCAAAGAACAGGTCAGTCAGTCCCCGGAGCAGGTTGGGATAAGGGCCTTGCTCAGGGGCTCAAGAGTAAAATCATGCTGCCAAATCTGGGACTTGAACCACTGACCCTCTAATCACAGACACAGCATCCTAACCATCAGAGCCAAACACCATCCCAAAGCAAAAACAGAATTCTTAATACAGCATCAGTCATTTGATCATCACACAAGTGCCAAATGTTAACTATATGTCTCTATGTAAAGTGCTCCAACATATGATCACTGATGGAAAATCAGGTCTTCTGTCATGATAGGGGTGTTTTCAAGGTTCACCACAGGGCAAAGCAAGGTGTGTGTGTGTGTGTGTGTGTGTGCGAGAGCACTCACTGGGTGGTCCGCGTCTAGATCCGATCCGTACATCAGCACACGGTTGGCACACTTGTCCAAGTCCGAGATCTTCTTGGGGAACCAGGGAATGTTATCCATCGCTGAAACACAAGTCAGTTTTCACATCCTTTCATCACCAGGTCAAATTTATTTCCAATCAAGTTACGCTGTTCATCTTGTTTTGTGGTAATCTCATTACATCAGCATGCGGTATCACTCGTGGCTGCTAATTCATGACTGAGTCATTTCCTGTTTGTGGGCTGTAGCAGGTCCGTACCTTCTTCCTGTCGGCAGGAATTGTACGCCGTGCCCACGATGCCTGAATTCAAGTGCCTCTGCAGCAGCTGGATGAAATCATCGAGCTGCTCGTGGTTGCTGCTGCAGTCCAAGAAGATCTCAACCTCCGAGCGGTGTCTGTTCAATTTCCGAGACTCGATGTGTACTAAATTAACGTACTTTTCCTACCAATCAGATAGAGGAATTGTCCAGGAATTTAGTGACAGTACAGTCTTATGGTACTTATGTGTAATTTTTATCCTACTTGATAAAAAGCCATACCAGACCTAGTAACTATGATAAACATCTACACAACTGCAACATATGCTTCAGTTTGCACATATTTCAGCTGTGAACGTTATTATTGACAAAACTGCTATATTTTTTTTTAACCTGGAAAAGCTTCAATGCCTTAAAGAGTCCACCAGTGTCGTTCTTCAGGGAGAGAACCACTGTGGCGCAAGGCTGGTCTGGTACCGTCTGTGTTACATCGGTCTTCTCCTCTATCTTAATGAAGGTGGATTTGCTCATCTGTTGGAAGGAAAAAAGAAGACATCAAAAAGGAAAGTATAATTCATCATGAAGAGAAATCGTCCGGTGTCACAGTCCAATACATTCATAAGTAGAGTGAGATGCTTTCATCTGATTCAATTGTCACGAGTTTGTGTTCACGTGAGCACATTGAATATCTTATTAAATTTAGTAAGTTTAAAAAGTCCAAATACTCTATCCAAGAACATTAAACAGCTGACAGGTTCTTTGAAAAGTACTGAAATAGTACTGACTCCCAGAATCCTATACTGGCCTTTATAATGACTCCTTCAATAGAAGAGCTCATTGCAGGGGTGTGGCTAAGTATGGGCTCCAAACAGATAGTCTGTCCACCTAATAGACAGAGAAAATATAACCATTTAATCATTTAAAATCGCCCCCAATACATTTCGAACCCAACATCCCCAAAAGCCCACCCCAGGCTGGGATCCTGCTAAGACTGTGGATTCATTTTAAGTACTAAACGACCGCTTGACGTAGGAGTGAACTCGTGGATTTAGTCTTAAGACAAGCCTACATGAGAATATCAAACTTCTTGTTTGGTTTAAGAGTGAACCGCTTTCACATTACGATCTATCTAGATCTGAAACGAATCATGCATAAAGAAAGGCCGGCTTTTTAGTCCACTTCATACTATTTCTAGATTTCACTAGATACCCCTCGGATATAAGACATTCCCATGCAAAGAAGAACAATCACTGCTTAAACTCTCATGTGCATCCACTTGCACGTTGCTCTTACATTATGTTAATAAAGGTAATATCCCGCTCATTTCATATTAAATTAAGGACTGCGCAACGATGCAACTAGTAAAAAATCTAATTAAAACATTGAGGTTAATAATAAATGTTAGATTATAATGCATATTCAAATACAGATTAAGCTTATAACAGTATATATAATAGTAGTTTGGCAGCAATGCTGATTGAACCCCAGAACAGTTCTTGTTATACGCTGTCTATCGCTCTCTCGTTTACCGACAATGCACCAACCATGTTTGGTCTCACGAGCAGCGAAGGGACCAGGCAAGGAGGGAGGCTCCGCTGTCCCCGGCGAACCGTCTGCAGGATGCCGGACAGCATGAGGCGGCTAAAGCCGGACTCTGTGTGTTGTAACTTCTCTTTCTCACGCAATGTATGTCTGCCTTCCCGAAACGTCTTAAAGTAATCCTCAAGGAGATTGCTATAAGATCCCTATAACATTAAACTAAGACGACTACAGTCACCTGTACGCAGCGTGCAATTTGCTGAAAGGTGAGTCGGTGTTGGGAGAAGCGGCAGGTGAAGGAGAGAACCTGCGTCCGGAGATCGTGGTTCTGCGACGCGCATAGTTTAATTGCACTATTCCTCCTTCGAAACCCGCAATCAAAATGGGTTAAATGGGCCTCGGACCGGGCTAAACTGTGACGATCCGTGCATCCGCTTTCTTGCTGTTCCATCAGTGTACGACCTGTGTCAATTTACACATCACCCAATACATGATTAAATTGAGAAATGACCTTGCTCACCCGTATTCCCAAAATATTGGCGTATAATAAAAAGTGAACTGAATTGAAGAAGCCTTTCGGATGAGAGGTGAAACGTTTTGAAGAAATTGAAAAAGAAGTCCAGTTGCCTTCGATTCAAGCCCGTAAGATTATCATGTCCTGGACGACAGAGAACCTACACAGACACATGCATTGCATTATAATTATAATAATTATAATTATACTCTGCATCCCTGACCTTCTTAAGGCTTGACGCACCCGACCCACCAGGATTAGCTGCTTTACGGTGTGTCTAATCTGCAAAAGTGAGTCAAGTGAGGACGTTGCTCCTGTGAACGCAGCACAACGAAAAGTGTTTCTTCTAACGTATAGATACATACGTATAAAACGTGTCGATACTATATAGCAAAAACAACAGCTGTTCACAAATACTTGTTTAAAAAACAACGTTTTTCCTGACTTTATGTAGTAGATTTCATTACCCTGTGGCTGGCACGTTATGTTTTATCAACACAGTAATACATGTACATAAATCATGCTGAATAACATCCTCGTGTATTCCTATATTACTTATACATAAGGCATGTGCTTACCTCATTGTTGAGTTGTTTTTCCTCATAACTAGTGTTCATTGAGTCAAAAGACCTTCCTCGGCGTGGCGCTGGAGTCTTGCTTGGAGACATGTCAGTCTTCTTTTAATATTTATCCTTATGTGCAATTGCAACTGGGCAGCTTGATTAGTGAGTACCACAGTGAGGCCTATTTATGAAGGGGCGTGTATGTGCGTTTATGCATATATGAATTAATGTGTGTAAGTATGGAGGCGTATCAGTTTAAATGACGATATGGAAAATTGTTTGGGGGGGGGGGGGGGGGGGGGCTTTAATTGTGCGCAAACAATTAGTCTGTTTCACATTATATTTCAAATGTATTAGATGCCCTGCGTATCATCACATTTGTCACAAGTGCAAATGGGAAATAAGAGAGGTGGCTGCCGTCACCCGTGATTTAGCGCTTATGCATTCTTTTAAATAATAAACATTTTTTAAAGAATCCGAAATAATTATTGATAAAGTAACTTTCTCGTTTGTGTGGGTTTCGCGTATGATATTTAAAACGTATTAGATCGCAAACCGATAAAATTGCTTAATTATAGCCTATTCAAAGTCCTATTTTCACAATTCAACGTTATACCGTTAGGTTATGATTAAATTGTGGAACATAAGATAATACTGGATAAGATCACGATATGATAGGTTAAGATATGATTATATAACATAATATTTCATAGGATAAGATAAGATTAATGTAGTATATAATAAGATAAGGTTAAGATAAGATTGTAGAACATACGACATCATAGGATAAGATACATCAACATAGAATAGCTTAAGATCAGGTTAAGATGAGACAAGATTTTATCTAATTTGTTCAGAGGGAAATTATTCACATGACATGTCTTTTCATTCCTATTTCCTATTGTTGTATTTCTTTGAAATAAATATTAATTACTTTCCATTCAGTTTTTGTATGTGTGTTTATTTAAAACATTGTGAATATTGACACAAAGTATGATGAGTTAATAAAATAATGATTAGTTAAAGTCATGTACATGTAGAGATTTGCAATGAACACTTACTATTGAATTACAGGCTTCTTCAGTTATGAAGTGCAATGCAAAAAATATAGAGAGGGACAATTCATTAAATGATGCAAGCACAGTGGGGGACATTTTTTGTGTTAAAGCCAAATTGCATGACCATTCTGCTGCTAATACAGGCCTTTAAGCTTAAAGGTGACTTAGAATGCTTTTTTTTTTCAAAATTGTTCACTGGTGAATATATTAAACATTTAGCTTTAGAATAGGTTAACAATTATGAAACAGATTGTGCACAAATAAATGCGCATAGGACATTTTTTTTGAAACACGTTACACAAATAAAGTACACTTTGAAAACTTGTGAAACCGATAAAGTACATTTTTCATTGTTCTCTGCGCATGCATCAACCCAACCGGAAAGGGTTCCGAGAGTGGCGCTCAGAGGCTGCGGCCTGTCACGCCCCGATCGTGCCGCTCATCCTGTGTGCCACGCCCCCGCGTTAACCACGTGCGGAATCCCCATGGTACCAGCTGTTCCTAGTCTGATTAGTTTCTGTATTTAAGTGCTTCCCTGTTAGTCTTTCCCCAGTCCTGTTATTGACGTTTTGGATCGCTAGTGTCTTTTCGTGCTCCTGATTGTGTGATTCCGCCATTAAATTTTACCGTAACTCCTGGACTCCCTCTTCCCTTCTCTTTCTGCCGTGTTCTCAGCGTATCATAACACAGCCGTCCGAAGCCAACCTCTGATGATAAAATTTACATCACGTCCCTTCCTCTGCAACCAAAAGTGCACGTGGTATAATGAATTATGAATTGGTCTTAAGTGTCACACCAGATGTGTTTGGCAACCCTGTTATCATAATCACTGTATATCTTCAAGATAAGTGCAACAGTAGACTAAGCTAATTTCCTAGATCTCTAAATTTACAAGCAATCATTTGAAGAGACAATGAACATTTGCTACAGGAGAAAGTGCTTCCCCCTGCTTAACTTAAAACAGATAAATTCTCCTTCATGTCCCGGCCCCCTTACACTACAATCCTTACATTTCAGTTTAGTTGATTTTTAGCACAGCTAACTTCTCCAACAGTAACGAAACCTGCATATATGACAAACCACAATATGCTACTGCCTGAGCATGCCTGTGAAGTTAACCTGAATGTCACTAGCAGGCTAACAAGTTAATCCACAAGTTCTGTGGCACAGCACTGCTGTTTGCTAATTGCTCTGTCCTTAATGACGTTCAGTGAGCAAAATTTGTTAGCATATTTTACTACATACTTAACATTAAGGCAATTTGCTCCGAGCAGCAAAGCAGCTTCATTCCTTGGTTTGCCGGTCATGGGAAAGCAATGTTCACAACGAGCAAGCTGGGCCCAACAGGGTGTGTCAGGGTGACTTGTTTGGGAGTGGGGAATCGGGTCAACTGTAAGTATGCCCTAAGTTTAACTTTAAATAGGGCCAACAAGTTATGGTTTAGCCTTAGACCTCCAGGGTTCTGGGTTTGAATCCCTTCCCTGGCCAGTGTGCGCTGACTTTGCATGATCTATCATTCATGAGGTTATCATGCCTCAATGTTTAGCTGTACTTATGTTTGCTGTTTTATTCCAAAGATTCTTATCCTGAATAATGTTTGAGTCAGTTCATCTAATACTGTCCATAACCCCCTTATTTCATTGTGCGAATGGCCCCCCACCCCACAGTGCCGTGGGTTAATTGGGCTACACTAACGAAGCTTCTAATTAGCCTCAGGAAGCAGCTTTGCTGTTGCGGAGCCAGAGACTTGCTCGGCACGGGTGAAAGGGGGCAGAGCTGCAATTGCGTGTCAAGGGTCGTCTCTAAGAAACTCTAGCCATTGTGTCAAGCAACTGTAGAAGGCTGCCTGGTGTACCTTTAAGAAAAGCTCTCTGATTTATCGATTTCACGCGTTAAGCCCTTTAAGTTATTAGATGCCAGTCTACAAGGTCAGCAGCTCTACAGGATGCCCTTTTCGTAGGTTTCAGCCACATGTCGATTTCAGGAGGCAACAGTGACTCCTGGTGGTGTCATATCCATGTTGAAGTATTTGGTAACACTTTACTTGACAGGGCACACATCATATACTAATACTCATGCAATTAATACTTATATAATTTACTACAAACTAAGTCTTACATACTGATCTCATGTTATTTCATCTTTAATAAATCATGACGCATATTTCATCCCATTCCTATATTTTTTTACTATATATGTTAATTCTGCAAACATTTGTGAACTACTGAAGGAACAAGTAATGAATAACAAAAGTGAAATACTGATCTCGTGTTTGTTCATCATTAATGAATTATGACTCTTTAAACTGCAGTAGCAACAATATTTGTTCATGATTTGTTCGTAATTTGTAGTTCAGTAATAACTGGGTTATTAAGTATTTGCGCCCCGTCAAGTAACGTGTTACCAAGAATTTAATATGTCCCAAAGAGGAGGTCTGTGGTACGCCTGGGGATTGAGGGGTGCATCTTTTGGCTTCGTACTGTGCCGCAGGAACAGAGGAAACTGCTGGACAATGATGTGGAGAGAAAACCACTCAGCCCAAATTCACTAACATGCATGTCAATACAGTGCTGGACAAAACATATTAAGGATCTGAGAAAGAGACTGCTGGAGCTGTGCTGTGCTAACAGTAGCCGGCCGCTAGTTTTGTGGCTGCACATTGACTGTGAAGGTGCAGGTTTAGATTCTATGCTTATCAGAAAGAATCATATCTTTAGTGGACACTCAGATGCAAAATACAGTCACATGCGATATAAATATTAGCTCATGCTTAGAATGGCTTGTGTTTCTAGTGACTTTGGAGTTATATCGCCACCCTGTGGAACAGCAGGAGCGGTGCATGTGTGTATAAGTACATGCATAATTGTTATACACCTCAAAGAGATGTGCGAACACACAGAGAAACACCGCCTCGCAAAAACCAGAAACCAGAACAAATGTAAACTGCAGAACCAAACAAAAACGGGGAACCAGAACCATTTTTTTATGGAGGCAGGAAAACCGCTACTGCAGGGTAACAGCCCGTTAATCATATATCCGTTTATTTTAAAAAGGTTTGGAAAGCTTAGTGCTGGAAATTAACACGTAAAGAGTAGCTCAGAACTTTACCAATCAGTGTATAAGGGGAACGGTGTGTTGTTCAGCGGATTGGGACTTCTCTGTGATCAGTAGGTCACCAGTTCAAATCCCTGTGCTGGTAGACTGATGCCATTGTCAGGCCCCTAAGCAAGGCCCCTAACCCCCAGCTCCTGGGGCACTGCACAATGGCTGACCCTGTGTTGTGATCCCCAAGCTTGCTCCGACCTGCATGTGTCTGGCAGAGTGCAAGTTGAGGGAAAAACAAAGAATTTCCCCATGGGGACCAATAAAAGTATCACTATTCCAAATTTTTAGCATTATTTTACATCCGACTTGAGCTGATGGTCTCAACAGCAAAGAGTCTGAAACTTAATAATTTAAATACAAAGGTCTGTTACTTGTGGGGATGAATGAAGAAAGCCAAATTAAATATTGGAGTGGGGGCATGTCCCATCCATGCCCCCTGGTTTCTAAGCACCTGGCTGTTGTCCATTACAGATATTGCACAATTATTACTGCAATATTAAACTGAAAATCTATCAGATAATAAAGGAACTGGATTACTAAAATGTGTCCTGTCATGGGTTGACGCCTTGCACCCGTAGCCTCTGGGATAGGATTTTCTCTTTATGGCCCATATCTAACATTCATCTTTGTAAAAGCCACATATTTGCAGGATTTTCCTTCACTGTAAGATATACAGCAAAAGCCAAGTCAAGCTTTTCAAATGAAACGTAAATCCGAGGCCATCCGTACAGTTTGGGGCAGCGGCAAACTGAAATGTGCTTTTCCTCAAGTTGTTTGAATCACTGTATCTACCATTTGGCCTACAATTGCTACCTTATTATCCTGCATTTTTGTAAGCTAGGATATGTTTTGAAGATAATGAATCAGACCGTTAACAAAAAAACAAGTTATCCAAGAAGTAAGAAATCATATGTTATTGTGTCATCTTATGAATTGCACAAGTGTCTGGCATATTAATATGAAATTGTGTAACACTATAATACCATGTTATCCTGAAGTAGTTCCTAAAAGAAACTGTCAGTAATGTATTTTATCATACAATAACATGTTATTAGCTTCAAGATGGACACAAAGACATAGACATCTTCCTTTCATGGAACGTTTGTTAAACTGTTTCCAACCTGATTCCTACTGGGCTCATTTTGATTAGAGGTGTGCTATGTAGAGACCCTGACACAAGGCTGAGAACATTGCTCAGACTGTATGACGGACATCCACCATTTTCTGTGTCTACTTTTTTCTGAGATAGGGAGGAGGAGCAGAATCTAAAACCGACAAAGTTATTTCAATCGTGTTCATGGCCAGAAATAAAATCTGGGGGATCAGAGGGGGCTTGGTAAGTTTCACTAACTGAGGGGCAGAAGCAAATTTTGAGGGGGTTTCAAAATCACAATTTTACTAACTGATCGGTAGCAAACAAAGTTTGCAGTTGCGATTCAAACCCCTTATTTTATTACAGTTACATGCCTGACCAAGACTCTTATTTAGTTACTCCAGGGACTAACTTTGTGTTCTCAAAAATGTATGTTAGTTTTAATAAACTGTAAATGCTAGGTTTAAGGGGATGTATTGGGTTCATACAGTGCAAGACCACCTCTTTGTGGTTGCCCTGAATACACACTGCTTATGCGTCAAACCAAGGTCAGCTAGTCATACAAATATCTGGATATTGGGTTGTGTCCCACAGGCAGGATGATAGAACATTATCTAATCTACAAGAAAGTTTAAGTCAGTTTAGACAACATGCCAATGAATAATAATAATTACCTTCTAATGCTCAGACCTCACACAGGACCACCCACAAATAATTCGTATATAATCGTGAGAACAGGTTTTGGTATGATTGGCTACGTACCACCCATTAGACGGCGCTGCCTTTCCGTCGGACCTCCGCGGGCGCGCCCCCAGACGCAGTGGAATTCGCTCAGCTTCCTTGCTTGCTGACGCGCACTTCGCGCGGCCGCGCTACTGTCCCCGCCCACCCCGCCTGGCGCGGGTACACTCTGCCGTGGGATTTCGTGGACGCGCTCGGACTTTAGCGGCAGCAGCAAGATGCCGGCGGTGTCGAAAGGAGACGGAATGCGCGGCCTGGCCGTCTTTATCTCCGATATTAGGAACTGTAAGTACGGGCCGCTTTCGCTGACGCCAGCTTTTACGAAGTTTATTTTATTTTTGAAAGGGGGTGGGTCAGGAGAGGCGGCCGGTTAAGTGGAGCAGGCCTTCGGGCCGGGGCTCCTCCCAAAGTGCTGAGGGAAAAACACGGCAGCCGGGGGCTGTAGAGGGGTGTAGCAGGCTGTTATCGGCGCGACCCGGCCCGTATCTGCAGTCCCCCGTCAATAGCGGCCGTGACAAGCGACGACGCGGAGACGAAGCCCAGAGTTAATCGTTCCGTTATGGGCTGTTGTAACCGTGATTGAATGCTGGGGGATGGGGGCTGAAACGCCGTGAGGGCCGCGGGCTTGTTTTGAGGGTGAGGCCGAAACCCCGACAGGGGAGAGAGACGCGTTAGCATGTGGCGGCCAGCGGGCTGAGACGCTCGGCCGCTTTAACTGCATCCCAGTCATACGTACACTGGGCGGAAATGGGACATTAGTTTTTAGCCCTAAGGGGGATCTTAGCTTTCGGGAGGTCATATGATTAGGTTCTACCAGCAGCTGTCATGGCGACGGCAGTCACTTTTTAATACTTGGATAAATGTTATTGGTATCAAGGATTTTTATTTATCATTGTGCAAGTGGGTTACACCAAGTAGCGTGGCAGCAGCCTCATAAATAACTCGCATGCATGGAGATGGCATACATATTTACATACATGACACCAATATACTTATGAAAGTTGCGCATGGGACCCTGTGTGTGTATTGCACTCATTTGTTAGTAGATAATTCAGCCTGTAATATTACGGCATATGTATGAGCGAGAGTATTTGCCACTGGCTGTTTTGCAGACACATTCAGATACTCTGCAGCTGGTGTTGAACCAAATGTATGAGCGCATTGGATCCAAAGCAGTGTCACCCTGCATTATCACCTTGTCTGTTTGTCCCACTGACTGTATCTGTCACCTCTCTGAAGGGTGTTTAGAGTCTAACCTTAAATGCAGTGCTGCATTTGGGGGGGATGTCATGCAGTGATTCCATGGGTTTACTGACAGACCTCACAAATCTCTGTAAGTGGGTACCTATTTGGACTCCTGAGGTATCATGTTTCCATCCTGCATGATTCCCAAGTGAACGGTCCCATACATGCAGACTACTTCTAAAACAACCCCCATCTTCTCCCCAGCCTAACAGTCCAGTGTGCTTACTTTTAGTTGAACTGCTTAATTTGTGAATGTTGTTTGTCAGCGATGAGCATGCACTGCTCATTGTGGGAACCTAAATCTGCTTCTGACTGCATGTTATTGTGAAAATGTGTTTGTGGTTATTTTGTGATTTTTTTAAAAAAAATTTTTTGGCAGGGGGTCTCAGGTTATTTTTGTTGTGCCTTGTAGTTTAGTGTAATTGTGCCACAGTTCGCTTAAGAACTAGGCATTCGTGGGGAACGGTTGTGATTCTTTGCTGCAGGGAGATGCTGAATCTTAATTTCCATCATTTACATGGAGATATCAGGAAGGGCTAAGTTCTTAGAGGATATGACTTTGGAAACAGAAGAAAATTGTTGTTTTTATTATCATTTTGATGGTCAGTGCTCATTGTGGGTTACTTTGTGTGTGCAGTGCTGATCCCTTTATTGCATTACCCAATATAACAACAGCAATTACTAGGATGGAAGTCTGATTATAGCTCTTCTTTTGTCTCCTGAATTTTCTTTAATGTAATTCTTTTTGAATTCTGATTAAGTCCAGCAGTGGGTAACCATTTGTGCACTTGCTATTTTACAGAAATGTTTTTGATTTCTGTTGGTTCTGTATTTGCAGTAATGTAGTTTGTGTGGTGGAGTGGTGTTTTCATCCTGGCCAGTGAGCATTGCCTGGTGGTAGCTCTGGATCACCGTTCTGACTTCTGCAGCTGATTAACTTGCTTTGGGAACTTTGTATCTCATGTCAGCTGTATGGGCAGTGATTTTACTGGGTGTGGATTCATCTTAGTCATGATGAGTGATCCAGTTTCACTTAAGGAAAGGACACTGGCATACTTTACCTGAAAGACTATTCTGATTCTCTCTGATTAAAGGCTGTATATTAAAAGCATGTCAGAAGATTCCTTGGTTTCTTCTGGGGTGACCTGGGGTATTTTGAAGTTTACAGTTAAATTCTTTTTTATTTTGTTGTTGTAGCCAGAAAGGGTTTTACTTGTGTTTTGAAATGAAGATAATGAAAATGTTTTCTTTTTCTTTCCCGTATTAAATTACCCTCAAATCCAACATGTCCTAGCATGTAACAGTGGGAAACCTGTTATATACTTTCATCTGGATAAAAGCGCCTGCAGAATCAGTAAATAACTGTAAAGTCGGCCAAGAACCAGAACACCCAGGGCAGGAGACGAAACCGCTCAGAGCTCTCTCTGCCTACAGTGACAGAAGACCAGTCTTCCTCTGTTGTTTTCTCAAACTTTTTGCAAAGTTGCTCTGTGCTGCAACGTGAAACAAATTTGCTTAGTCATGGGGAAAAATGGATTGCAGGCACTTTGGTATTCTAGATTCATAGTGGTGACAGCCTGTGTTAAATAGCGGTTGATTCATCTCCTGATCCAGATTGATGGTGTTTAATCCAGGCCATTGGAGTTTGCCCATTACAGGTACCCCAGTAAGTGATTGCTAAGAGGATAGCAGGAAATTGTCCCCCAGATCCTCCACCTGCTGTCTGAGCCCCATTGTTATATTAGCTATTTACCGAGGTGCTTCTGTTCCTTGATTTAAATTGAAGATCATTTTTAAACATAAGGATACACCAAATTCATTCAGATTATTAACTGTTTGGCATCACAGTATGCTTCTCATAAAGATTTTAGGCGTACTACTGATCTGCTTATCAAATTGTGGGCGTAAGGACAATATCTCTATAGTTCCAAAATGCCAGCACCCAGATAGATTACTCCTGTATGCCTGTTATCTAAAGCCCTGTCTTGAGTAACACTTACTGAGTAAGGTTGTACTCCAGCAGCCTTGCGGGTTGAATAATTTTATTCTACTTCTTGTTGTTCAGGTCGCATTCCTTTTTAACTTGCCTGTGAAGCATCATATTGGGATTGACTGTTGGCATGTTCAAACACATTCTGTTTAGCAGTCAAGTCTTCTTGATCTAGTGGTCTCAGTGTCTAGGAAGGGACCACATTTACAGATCTTTTGTCAGCATGGTCAAAAAATGCATACACTGGTTTATGCTTAGTAGGCTGAACCAAAAAAATCATCTGTGAATGAATGTCTTCTCTCATTATTATTTAAATGACAACTATACCTTTGTTTGCCTGTATTTTATCTGCCTTGCTGCTGCATGCAAAAGAATTTCCCTCTGGGATCTGTAAAGCTAATCTTATCGTTCATCATCTGATAAAATACTTAGAATGGAAGCCTCTCTCTGTTTCCACCCCAAAGTTGTTTCTGGGTTGTCCGGCACCCTCACTATCTGCCATGACACTTATGCCTGATTTTCTTCTGTTCCTTCAGGTAAAAGCAAAGAGGCAGAAATCAAGAGGATAAACAAAGAATTGGCGAACATTCGCTCCAAGTTTAAAGGTAAGCACAGCCATGGTGGGATGCTGTAACTTGCGCCCACGCGACATTCTTAATCTCCGCCAGCATGCAGTCAAGTCTAAAAGAGGTGGAGCAGGAGTTCCTCCTGCGTCTCACTCTGAATTGGAGCCCCCAGAGGGCCATATATGATTGTCCAGGTTTTCCTTGGTGTGCGGGAGCTGTTTTGGGTTTAGTGTTGACTGGAGAATATCCAGGGGAAGCGGGGAGGAAGTGGCAGCGAAAAGCAGAGTAAAGATATTGAGTCGACAATTCTGGCAGGAAATGGTCAGCAGAGAGTTTGCTTTCCCTACATTCTTGAGCAGCTTCCTGAGGAGTGTACACACACACACACACACACACACACTAAAATGAAGGGAAGCGCACACGGCGCGTGTCACCGGAACTCAGCGTGTGTCCCCAGCTCTGCACCGCTGTTTATTGTACTCAGAAACCGCCCTGGTATCTCAGCTTCTCAGAGATTCGCGCCTTGCTGGCTTCTTCCAGTGGATAGCTTTCCGCACGTATGCGATAACAAGGAAAAGCCAAATGTGAAAGAGCTCAGCTTACCTCTGAGTTTCCTACATTTTTACAACTGATTCTGATTCCTAGAACTTTTGGTTCATACCTAATTCATAGGTATGTAGTTTCTAATATCTGTTATGCCACCTGTGTAATGTTTAGGCCCAAAGCAAGCAAACAAGCAAGTGTTTTAAGGTCTGTGCTGTAAAACCCAGGTCCTAGCATCTGTATAAATCACAACTCAAAAAACATTAAAGCATGTTAACAACAAGGGAGACTGAATTAATGTATGCTGTAGTGAATGGATGTGTGATGACGGCCGTCTTCTCCTCCCAGTGACGTTTACTGAAGTCCCATTTGGATAAGTGAATATGTTATTGAAGCTGTTATGCATCTTTGGCGTTCTGTTCTATGTGAATTTGGGTTACCATGTTTAGGTTACCATGACCCAGCTTTTTAACCCTAAGCATCCAGGGGCAGCCGATGCATGTTGAGCCTTTGATTGGAACCACAAAGCCATAAAAATAATGTCTCATTCCAAACTCAGGTAAAGGGTTCACTTTTTATTCAACCTCATGAGATTGAAGGAGTTTCTACCATGACTAAACATCTAAAGAGGCATGTAGCAGTTGCGGTCACATGCAGAAATATACTGCTCAGCCTGCCGGGGTTAGAAACACTGCTCCTCGTGTCTTGGGAAGATGCTAGACTAGTGATGCATTGAACCACAAAATAGCAGTCAGTTGCTCTTTTTCCCTCCCGTACCCATCTCTCTCACACACATAAATAGAAATGCAATATATGGCTTGTAATATTACCATTTGAACTGTGAGCCGCATTTTATTACTACTCATAATCTCTCTCATGAGACTGGGGGTGGTTTGGAATGGCTCTGACTCCTATGGATTGTTTTTAGTCTGTTTTTCTCTTTGCATCTCTGGCTTTGGTCAAAAGAGTTAATGGCTGAGTGAAGAAGGGACCCCACCCTGGATTCATGACTGTGGCATATGGGTTGATTTGTGAATGAGTGCTAGTCTTAGGGACATGGTGAGGCCCAAATGAGTTAACTAGGAGGATTCCCCATCTTTGGCAGGGATGCCGTCAAGCTCCCAGCTCACATCATTAGTTGGTGACTTTGGATGGCTGCCGTAATCTTAAGGTCTTGAATTGAAGGCAGCTGGACTTTTTTTTTCTGGAATTTTTTCTTCAAAATATTGAAAAGGTCCAGTTGCCTTTGATTCATGCCCTTATGATTATCATGCCCTGCATAGCTGAGAGCCTGCACAGACGGATGGCTGGCGTAGCTGCTTCCACAGACTTAATCTCAAGTCAAAACAACTAGAGACGTGTTTATCTCAGGACATGGAAGCAGCCCAATGGGCTATGACATTTTCACAGGGATGTGTGGCTGCTGACGGGTGGGTGAGCTGTTATTGGGGTTCGCAAAAAAATGCACCCCGCCCCCAAAATGTTTCAAAAACTCAATAAATAGTCAGAAGGCGGTAGCTAACTAGGTGGTTAGCAGAACATGCTGCTTTCCTAAATAAGGAATGTGTTTTTTTTTAGGGGGCCAACATGTGTGTACAAATTGAGTTTTGTAAAAACCACTGGCTGCTGATCACTGCAGCTCTGGTGTGAATAGAGACCCTTGGGCCATGTTAGGATCAGCTGTAGTTTGGTGGGAGGATGTCAAGCTGGAACGACATACGTGTTTTTGTTTATTAATAAGCTTTATTTTTTTTATGAAGACAATTTGGAGTGGGCTGGCTAGGGCTGGGCAATTAATCGAAACCCACATTCAGAAGCTCTAATCAACGTAGTCTTTCCTGTGTCGGTTACTTCGTTTATTTGTAAATGCTGCTAATACTTTTAAAAAAATTCTGTTCTTTCTCCAGTGTGTGTTCATGTACTGTCCCCTTAAAAACACACTACCTCATGTGTTGTCACGTGACTCCACATCTTGGCCGCAACATGGAGGCGAACTCAAACACAGAGCCGACTGAGCAGCTCGTACCGAAGGAAAATGCCGTGTCCGTTATTTAAACACATTGCGACTTTAGTGAATAAACCAAACAAAAATAAGTCAAATATAAACACTGCAAAAAAAACTGTTTCAGCTACTAAAGGTAATACCACGAATCGGTTTCAACACTAGCAATATATAAAATATGGTGGAAACCACTTGTAGTGGTCGGTTATAGCGATCAACCGCTTATATAGATGAAAAATCTTGGGACAGAATCATTTCTGTACAAATACTGTTTAAATCATTTGCTTATAGTAAGCAGTCCGCTTACAGTGTTCATTTTAGGTCTTTTTGTATATAACATTTGTACTACTTTGCCTTGAGGTAACCGTCTGCTTTTGCTACGTACCTGAGGCTAATTCTCCATGCACAGGAAATTCATTTTCTTCCAGTGACGAATATAGATTCATCAAAGTTCATGATAAACTGCCAAAAATGAGCCAACAAGATGCAGTAGCAAATCAACAATAAGCTATATTTTACGTACAGTATAGTATTATAATGTATTTGAATTATACACAGTTCAGTAATTTAACTTGTACAGTACTGTAGTTTGAAAAGCGTTTGAAACAGCTGCACTGTATTTTGAAAGAGTCAATAAAATTCAGTTAATGGTGACTCTGTCCGTTTTGCCTTATATCTGTGTAGTAAATATACAGGTGTCAGTTAGATGGTAATCTGCCTGAGACATAAAGAACAAGAAAAAAATGAGAAAAATTATAATGATCATGATTGAGATATAATATGATGATTTTGTTGAATTATTTAAAAATGTTAATTGTGATATTGATTTAAGGTCCTATTGCCCAGCCCACGGCCAGCACATCAGTTAATTATGCAAGTGGAGGAAGTGTGGGCAGTTAGCCTGTAGCTTCCCATAAGCTGCAGAGCATTGTGGGTTCTGGGCGTAGCCATCCTCTCTGCATATCTTTGGGGCAGCCTGGGAGGCTGAGCACAGGGTCTGCCGTCAGGATAGCCATGCTGCTGGAATGTTCCGGGCAGCAGGAGGCTCAGTGTGGAATGCTGCGGAGGAGCTACCCCATCTGCTCCTACTTAGCTCAGCTGCGGCACCTCACGTCAGAAGGCTGAGAATCACACCGCCGTCTGACTCTCACTGAGCGTGCTCTGTTACTGGGGTGAACATCTGGCTGGCTAGGGGGCCCACAGTGTTGTACTGTGACTCTGCTATATATGCTGATATTGGTCATTTACCGCAGTGTTTCTCAAACCAGTCCTCGGGACTCCCGGGAGTTGGGAGGGCACAAAAACTTGGACAGTCTGGGAGTTCCTGAGGACTGGGTTGAGAACACTGGTACATGCTTACTGGTCGTACATTCACTCTCATTTGTACGATTGCCTGTTTGACTCGGCTTCCTGAATCATTCAGAATTAATTAAATCTTTCAAGTTGCTGGGAAATTACAACGAGAATTATTTGTGAATCACAGCTCAAGATGTAGACAGGCTTGAATAATGCCAAGGGCAGAGGATGGCACAACACAGGCTATAGATCTGATGTCATTGTGTTTGTCAGCATGGCCCTGTTACCGCAGTAATGAGCCTCTGAAGTCCTTTTCCTATCAATTCCCTCACTTGCTTGGTGTTTCCATTTGCTACATCCTTATGATTGTGTTAATTCAATCCCGCTAACTGTCTGTGTCACTCTGTGAAACGCGGTAAATCGTGCTCCCCTCTGGACACATTGCAATGTCTTCAAAAGCACAATGGTGCCCAAAATACGAAACCCTGCTAATGTCTGCTAACTCACCCACCCATCTAATGCCGGCTCATCTTTTGGCACAGGGAGAGAGCTGTTGACTTAAGCTTCCTGCTTCAGGGCAGATGAATAGTCCTGTTCTTCCTGTTGTTCCTTCCCGCAATCCATGGCCACCGAGGTGTTGGCCTGCAGTGGAATTCAATGAGCGCCAAGCAGATTGTTGATTTAGATTTAATGTTGTTTCCTTATTAAATAAGCTGACATTTGCTGCCACACCCCTGTAAGCTGTGTCCCCCTGTACCCCTGTGTCCTTGTCCTCCTGTGCCCCTGACTCCACACTCTTCTGATCTTCAGGAGACAAAGCGCTGGATGGCTACAGCAAGAAGAAATACGTGTGCAAGCTGCTCTTCATCTTCCTCTTGGGCCACGACATTGACTTCGGCCACATGGAGGCCGTCAACCTTCTCAGCTCCAATAAGTACACAGAGAAGCAGATCGTGAGTAGATGGAGCCGGCTGTGGTGCGAGTCTCTGAGCACATCTGACAGCTTTCCCTGCTCCCTACTGACAGCTTTCCCTGCTCCCTTCTGAGAGCTTTCCCTGCTCCCTTCAAACCATCCATTCTGTTGTTACTGCATTGTGTAATATGTAGTGTGTTTAACTCGGCAGATTTGTTTAACTAAAGTTATTGCTGCATTTCATAGCTACTGCGAGTTGGTTTGGGTGAGGCTCGGATGGATAATCGTATCCCTGTAGCTGCTTGTCTCCTAAATCCACTCTCCAGTATATATTATTAGTTGTAATGTCAGCTGTTCCTTCTGCAGCTCGCCCGAGGGCTTCATTTAAGTCCTCCTTCCCTTCTGTTGGCCTGTCATCAGAGTCCCAATGCTGCTCTGGTCCCCTTTCATTAGGGCTACCTGTTCATCTCGGTGTTGGTGAACTCCAACAGCGACCTCATCCGGCTCATCAACAACGCCATCAAGAACGACCTGTCGAGCCGCAATCCCACTTTCATGAACCTGGCGCTGCACTGCATCGCCAACGTGGGCAGCCGGGAGATGGCAGAGGCCTTCGCCGCCGACATCCCGCGCATCCTGGTGGCGGGGTAAGTAGCCGGGGCGCCCACGGGTTGGGCTACTGTGCTGTTTCCATGGCACCTGTGAGCTGGTGGGCCTGGTGGCGTTTGTAGCGACCAAACCTATTTGCTCGTGTGTCTTACAGAGACACCATGGACAGCGTGAAGCAGAGTGCAGCCCTCTGCCTGCTGCGCCTCAACCGGACCTCACCGGACCTGGTGCCTATGGGCGAGTGGACCTCCCGTGTGGTGCACTTGCTGAACGACCAGCACCTGGTAAGGGCCTGCTGCCGGGGGGGGAGGCACTGGGCTCTCCGGCTTACGCGGAGGTCATACTGTCTGCTGCCTGTGACTGAAGCCAAGCCCTGCCTGTGAACGCTGGCAGATCTCTGTGCGAGGATTATGTAACATCCCGTAAGCACACACGGACAGGTTTCCACTTGTAGACGTCTATCCGAAAGGTGTCTGGCAGTGTTTGGTTATCATGGATACTTGTGTGCTGAGCTTTGTCAGAGATCTGGGTCGGAGGTTACGAGCACCGGCCGTCTGCCGCCGGCTCGCCTTTGCAGTTCTCACACGCACAGACACGGAAGCATAAACGCAGGCTTTGTCTGTGAGCAGGGATGCTGAATAGCGAGACTGTTGGTCAGCAGTTCTGCAGAGCTGCGGCAGACTGTCCCGGTCCTGAAGGAGGCGTCCGTGGGGATCTCGGAGGATCTCGGAGGATCTCGGAATGCTAGCGGGTGGATTTGCGCTCCTTTGATGTTACTGTTTCACATCCACTGCGATCCTGCCTAGATTCTCTGCCTCCCTTTGCTTCCAGGGAGTGGTGACTGCAGCCACCAGCCTCATCACCACGCTCGCCCAGAAGAACCCCGAGGAGTTCAAGACCTCTGTGTCTCTGGCAGTTGCAAGGCTCAGCAGGGTAGGTCCTGAGCCGGATTCTCTGTGCATCTCTGTGCTGATGACTTGCCCTCTGAAGTTCTAAAGTGGGCCGGCTCTCGTCTCTCAGATCGTGACGTCGGCTTCCACAGACCTGCAAGATTACACCTACTATTTTGTCCCGGCGCCATGGCTGTCCGTGAAGCTTCTGCGCCTTCTGCAGTGCTACCCACCCCCAGGTAAGGCTGGCACCTGCACACTGTCCCCACTCCACCCGTGAGCTGTGAGGCTTTTGGTCACGCCGGCCGCTGCACCTTGGACCGACAGAGGACGCAGCTATCCGGGGCAGGCTGAGCGAGTGCCTGGAGACCATACTGAACAAGGCCCAGGAGCCGCCCAAGTCCAAGAAGGTGCAACACTCCAATGCCAAGAACGCCGTGCTGTTTGAGGCCATCAGCCTGATCATCCACCACGACAGGTGAGGGAGCCCTGGGAAGTCGTGCAGGGGCCTCTTGCAGCTCTGGGGGCAGGGCTGGATTGCAGTGTCCTCAGTTCCCGTGAATGGAAATACTCGTGGTCATCTTTTATACTTGAGGAACTAAATTATCTGAACTGGGATCAGCTGTATTAGGAGCAGTGTTTATCCTCTATGCAGTGGAGTTTATCCTCTGTTCTGTGCAGTGATCTTCCTAGTCTGAGCTTCCCCATGCTTGCAGGGGCCATTTTTAGCATTTTTCATGTCCCTTGAGAGTTAATAGAGACTTGTTAGATTTTACTATATATTTCTTATTTCTTCTATGAAATACTTTTGGGCAAAAATGTGGTCATCTTCTTTTAATGATTGAAAATGGCACCACTGGCTGGCTTTTCCCAGGGCTGCTATAATACATTGGCTGTAATGGTGACTGTCTGCACTGCCCCCTAGTGAGCCCACTCTGTTGGTGCGGGCGTGTAACCAGCTGGGCCAGTTCCTGCAGCACCGGGAGACCAACCTGCGCTACCTGGCCCTGGAAAGCATGTGTACACTGGCCAGCTCCGAGTTCTCCCATGAGGCCGTCAAGACTCACATTGAGACCGTCATCAACGCCCTGAAGGTACCGAAAGATTCCTCCATGGTCCCTACCACTCGCCTAGTCTGCCTGAATTGTGGCATCGTGGGTAGATGATTTACAATATACTCACAGTGTATAGTTTAATCAGTTTTTGAATCCGAGACAATTACTGTATTTGTTTTTATATTTCTGGAAGAGAATCCAGGCTGGCCATGACCTTGCATTGGATAAGTAGTAATGGAATATGGGTGGGTAATTAGGAGATGCTGAAGCAGCATGTTCTGCTAATCAGCTAGCTGGCTATGATCTCATGACTTTTATTTATTTAGTTTATTTAGTTTTTGAAACATCTGAGGGAGACGAGCAAAGTGATATTTTCAGTGGGTCCCCAGGAACAGCAAACTCGTTTGTGTGTTCGTGTTAGAATCTAATCGTGCGTCTTTCTGTGGGCAGACGGAGAGGGACGTCAGCGTCAGACAGAGAGCAGTGGACCTCCTCTATGCCATGTGTGACCGCAGCAACGTGCAGCAGATCGTGGCAGAGATGCTAAACTACCTGGAGACTGCGGATTACTCCATCCGGGAGGAGATAGTAAGCCCTTCTCCGTCAGTCAGCGTGCACCTCTGGCAGTGGGATTCCGTTGACCTAGATTTTGTGTATTTTCAACATGCGAACTGAAATACTGTTAATGGAAATGGAAAAGAACCTGAAACGTCAACTTGCAAAAAGTAATTTGCAAAACTACACTGGAAACAGTTTGTGAAAGACTAGGTATGTAGTTCCTTTAGAGCTAATAACTCGTAGAAAGCGAGCACATTGAAGCACAAGACATGGATGTTAATCTCGCTGGATAAACGGAGACTATTATTCACGTGACATCCATTAATGGAAACAGACCCTATTTGCAGTTTAACTTTGTCAATTTATAGAAAATTCACTTATACTCTATGCTTTGGCGATGATGGTGAGGAGATCAAGACGTGATTATTACTCAGATGGATTTCTTGTGCCTTTCAAACTACTACTCCATCCACACGGTTTGCAGTCTGCGCTGATATCACTGGTAGTCACCATTGGTGGTGTGGCACTTCCAGGTCCTGAAGGTGGCCATCTTGGCCGAGAAGTATGCAGTGGACTACACGTGGTATGTAGACACCATTCTGAACCTGATCCGCATCGCTGGGGACTACGTCAGCGAGGAGGTGTGGTACCGTGTCATCCAGATCGTCATCAACCGCGATGATGTGCAGGGCTATGCTGCCAAGACCGTCTTCGAGGTGAGGCCCCCGGTGCTGACCCCTCGGAGCTTTTGCTGACCTTAGACACTGACTGGCCCCCGATGCCGCTCTAACACGCCATTGGTCCTGTCTAACCCGGCTGAGCTTTTAACCCCTTTGTGATGGCGGTCTGATTCCTTCAGCAGATGCAGGAGATCTCTGGGGTACAGTAGTCCTCGTGCTGATCCGTACACATAAGAGTCCTTCCTCTCCTCGTCGGCTTTAGATACACGCAGAGAGTACAATGAGATCTCTCACTCCGCTGTGCGGAAATGCTAAGTATGTTTCCAGCATCTCTAGCTCGTCAACAGTGGGAGTCTGGCTGGAGGTTAGAGATCAATGGTAAAATAAAGAAACTTCACAATCTGATCTTAGGCCTTGTCCCCTCTTCTCAGGGCTGCCCCTTTTCAGTCGAGGCTCTGGGAGGATGGGCGCATGCTGGTATCAGGTGGTCTTCCTAGCAGGAAGCAGGAGATGCTCCTGTCTTTCTTTCGTGTGCTTGTCTGTGAGAGAGGAGAGTAGACGCTGTCTCTCTGTCGGTCTGCCGGTCAGTTATGTCAAACGCATGCGGGTGGAACTCGCATAAACCGAGCATTAGGGTGTAACAGTTCTGAAGCCAAGACTGTAACCGCGATACAAATGTTCATGATCATATATTACGGTTCTGGGAGAAATTTCAGCTATTTTATTGTCTTAAAGCTGTGTGTGTCATGTGACTGTTTCGGTCCAATCATGGTTAAGTGATCACGCCTGTGGTAAGAGCTTATCTAGCTTCATTAGCTCAAGATGGATAATAACCCTCTTTAGTGCTCCAAATTGTTGGGGATGGGGAAAAAAACCAGAACCCAGAAAAAAACAGGTATGAACTGAACTGTGGCTCAAGAATGAAGTTCTGAACTGGAATGTGGATTTGGAGAATCGTTACACCTCTACTCTGTAGTTTCCAATGAGCCTGCAACCACCCGTATGTTGTTGCCCTGTCCACTGCCGGCAGATGTCTCTCTCCAGATTCCCCCCACCCCCGCATCCTTTCATCTACCCCTCACCTTGAAGTTAGACATGCTGATATCTTACTTCCTCATTCTGGGCTGCAGGAAGGAAGCTGCTGGTCAAACTGATGCTGCAGTGCAAGCAGCAGCATTATCTGCTTTTTGTTTTTGCTTGGAACATGTTGGCTTCCATCAGCAATATTTTGACCCTGGGATGGCGATGGCTGGATGTAGTGTGACCTCTGACCCCTTGTGCACATATTGCCGGGTCTACGGAAATGAGCCTTTTCAGCTCGGCCTGTCTCCACCAGCCACCATGGTCACCCCAAAAATCACCGGCTGATTTTTGTAGGTTATCTTGGCCTGTGGCATGTGCCGCACCCTCACCCCCTCACACCCCTCAACCATTTGCCTTTAGCTTGGCGGCTCTCTCGCGCCCAATTCCACTCACGTCTTCCCTTCTGCCCCCACAGGCCCTGCAAGCCCCAGCCTGCCATGAGAACCTGGTAAAGGTCGGGGGATACATCCTGGGGGAGTTCGGGAACCTGATTGCCGGGGACCCGCGCTCAAGGTGACCACTCTCTCCCACCACCTGTGTCTGTCTTCCTGCCCTCCTGTGTTTACTCAGATGATTCGGTAACTTAGATATTTCAGTGATTCATAACATATGTAGGATTAAATAAACAGGGCAACTGCTTTGTAATGGTCACTGGACAAATCAGTCTGGTTATGAAGAAGATGGAGGCATATCCAGGCCCTCGGGACTAAGGGTGCCATACTTTTGCTGCTTCAACAAGGTACCAAAAGTATGGTACTTCAAGTTGCGTGTTTTCCACTAGCATAGAGACTGGTACCTGCGCCAAATAACATCACAACACAAGGCCTGTATTTTGTACCGAATTCGAAAAAATGGCTATAGTATATTACATGGCTGAGTGATATTAATACCAACATCCATGCTAGTACCTACTATTGAGGACACAGAGGTCAAGTCCTCAGTGTTTATTCTACAACTCCAATAACTATAATCTATTGCGGGGCTCCCCTAAGAAGGGCTCACACTTCACCTTGGTATTTAAAAAATCCTGGCTACAGCCCTGCCAAAATTACATGTTCAGTACATGTTACATGCAATTCTTACATTGCTAGTCAGCTACATTAGGTTGAGGTGGCTTCGTACCTTCGACGTGGTACCGGTATTATTGCGCAGGGAGTTTAAGCTGAAACATTTTTACTGTCATAGGAAAAAAATAACTTACCAAGTTTTGCAATTTTAGTGATATTCCTTTCAAGATTACCTAGTATATGTTTAAAAATCATCATTTTCATTTTCATAATCATTTTCATCCTTGCTGTCTAAATCACTCCTAGACAGGTCTGTGGGAAATTACATTATATTTCTTTCAACAAAATCACGTTGCGATATTTGAAAAATTTCCAATCCCGTGCTGTCCTAGTATAATATACAAAATAATGAATTTCTTGTTATGCCATCCTGATCAAGTCGTATTTGTTCTTCGTACCAGATTGCAGTTAAGGCTTGAGTCACTTTCTCCATGCGTCCCATATTATTATTTTTGCCATTATTTAATAATTTTTTCATTAGTTCATAATTGTTTTCAGGGCAGAGTTTGTATTGCATTTCAGGGGCAGGTGGTTTGTATAAGCAAGAAAGCGTTTCAAGTCCCACTCCAAAGTACCAAACTTCCAAAAAAAAGTACCCAGCTGGTTTGGCACTTTTGGATACTGGAACTCAATGGAAAACGGAAAATGTGGTACTTGGTACAATGGAAAGCGCTCTGAGTTGTAGTATCTTGCTCTAAAATACTCTGTCACAGAGTAAGATGTCAAGGATGTCTTTGGTCTCTAGACCGCCCATGGAATTTACACCTGACCTTTGTCCCCACGCAGTCCGCTGGTTCAGTTCAACCTGCTGCACTCCAAGTTCCACCTGTGCTCAGTGCCCAGTCGTGCCCTTCTGCTCTCCACCTACATCAAGTTCATCAACCTGTTCCCTGAGGTGAAGGGCACCATCCAGGAGGTGCTGCGCTCCGACAGCCAGCTGCGCAACGCTGATGTGGAGCTGCAGCAGCGCGCCGTGGAGTACCTGCGCCTCAGCTGCATCGCCAGCACCGACATCCTGGTACCCCAGGGGGCGGGGCTTGGGGCGGGGCTTGGGGCGGGGCTTGGGGCGGGGTCAGGGAGATATGGCGTTCTAGTGTAGCAAAGACATTCTACCTGGAGGTACTAAGTCATTTGGTTTGAGCAGCAGTGGGATGCAACATGAACTTGTTAGTATATGTGCAGATTAATAGCGTTGCTTTAGTTAACTGGCTGCAGAGTCCCACATCTCTCCATTTCTGACCTCCAGCTGTTGGTGTAGCAGACCAGCCTGTGCTGGAATTAATGCTAAATCCCCCCCCTGCTCAATTATCCAGGCCACAGTGCTGGAGGAGATGCCCCCCTTCCCCGAGCGGGAGTCATCCATCCTGGCCAAGCTGAAGAGGAAAAAGGGGCCCGGAATGGTGCCCGACATCGAGGAAGGCCGCAAGGATAAGAACGTGAACGGAGGCATGGAGCCCATCAGCACCAATGCCACCACCAAGGTAAAGGGTGCCCCCCCTCGCCGCGCGGGCGCTTCTGCGGGCTGCCATCATTCTCGTCTTATAGATTAGATTTTTTTAAGTATAGTTTATATTTTTATATCAAATTTTCATTTGACATTTTTTATATTAGTTTAGTGTAATTTTTGTAGTTTTTATAAATTTTTATTTTAAAGATTTTATTTCTCTTTAGTTTTTAGTTTATTAGTTTGTTTTAATGATTTTATTTCTAGGGATAGACAGAGTTGTACAGCTATTTTATGTGTCTGATATTTTGAGATTCCTTAATGAATACGAAATGCACATTAAGCACTAATGTCCCCAAAATGGGGAAAACATGTTCAAAATATTAATAGTTTACAAGTAACAGAATAAAAACAAAGCTAGCTAAACAACACAAATGGTGAAGGACAGTGTTTGAAGTTTTTATTTCAGTTCTGGAAATGGTGTTTGTATTTTTTGTTTATTTCAGTTGTAGTTTTTAATTTTATTTTTGTATGTTATTTTATTTCAGCTTACAAAAATGTTTTCTTACAGCTTTTGTTTTCACTAACGATAATAACCCTGTTCTGAAGCTCACCTTAATACATCGAGCTTCATTTCACACGAAGCCGCAGGCCGGTGTGGCCGCCTTCCCTGCCATTCCCACGATGCTGCTCCATCAGACCCAACCTTCGTTACTAGACATGAGGTGCAGTCATTGTTCCTGCAGGCTGATTAGCGGGCTTGTCATGGGTGTCCTGGTGACTGTCCTCTTGGTCCTGTGTCCCCTTCTTCTCTGGCTTCTGCTCTACCTCCTCATCCTCTGTGTGCGGATGGCCAGACCTCTTCTTTTGTCTCCACTGGTGACCTCTTGACCCCTGAGCCACCCCCCTTCAATCGTCCACGCCCTGTGTCATCATCCTCGTCCTCCTTGCTGCCGGCCCCCCTCACGCCGCTGCCACCATCTGGGCCCCCAGCAGGCCCTGCTTTGCAGGTCCTGCCTCTGATTGGCTTGGCTCTGGTGATTCTCTGTCGTCCCCCTACAGGTCCTGCCTTTGGTTGGCTTGGCTCCTCCCTCCCCTCCCTTGCACCCTCTGCAGGTCTTGCCTCTGACTGGCTTGGCTCCCGCATCTCGCCCTTGCAGTCTCTGCAGGTCCTGCCTCTGATTGGCTCGGCTCCTGCCTCCCCCCCTTGAGTCCAGCCTCTGACTGGCTTGGCTTATGCCCCTCCCTTGCAGGTCCTGCCTCTGACTGGCCTTCTGCCTATCTCATCCTTTGCCATTAACCTAATTTGAACATGCTGTCGTTTTGTTAGTGGTGACTTCGCAGAGCAGGATGACCATGTGCTTGTCAACAACAAAATCCGGGGATGTCTTTAGCCATTCAGTAGCAGCTGAAGGTGAATGGAGGCTGCCACCATGACCGTGCTTTGGGTTTTTATGGTGAAGTAGCTTTAGTAGAATCACTTTGGCATCTGCATGGAGTTTGACTTGACGATCTTGGGCCCGTGATGTGACTCTCAGTGAAGGTGAGACGTGTGCATGCAGAGTGCACTAGACAGGCTGATGGGTGCTACACACTCACCTGTACGGGCCTGAATAACGGTGAAAGGGGATGTTGCAGAATGTCTGAATCTGAATCCTTTTATTCGCCAGGTACAAAAAAGTACAAGGAATATGTTACGGTGCTCGTGGTGGCATGCAGTGTACAATTAAACATACAATCAAGAAATAGCAAATGGAATAAAAGTGAAATATACAAAAAATAAAGATGTTTAAATAATAGATACTAATATTTAGATAGATATTTATTTTTCCAGGACTCGACAGGTCTCACTGTAGGGTCACTGGCAGGTCTGCCATGCACCAGGTCACTGCTTCTGCGTGTCAGTGAATGTTTGAATTGTAAATATCTTACCAGGACATTTTTGAAACAGAAGCAATCTGCGACGTCCCCGTACCGCTGTGCCAGCCCGAGCCGCACTCCCCTAACAGAAGCGTGAGCAGCTCAAAGCACTCATGGTCCCTCTCAATTTCATACCCTTCGTGTCTCTGTGTCTGCAGTCAACGCCGTCGCCGTCCACTGACCTGCTGAGCTTAGGCAGCAGCCCCGCCCTGTCCTCGGCCCCTCCCTCCTCCTCAGCCGGAGGCCTGCTGGTGGACGTTTTCACAGAAAACCACGCCCCCGCTGCCCCGGGGGTCCCCATGGGACCTGTAGCCGATGACAACTTCTCAAGGTGGGCTGGAGTACAGCTTCAGGGGCTTGCAGTTTGGGCAGCTCCATCTCCAGGGACGTGCTTTAAGTGCAGATGTGTAGGACGCTGACGTGCTGGGAGGCGGGATTGCTGAATGTGCGGCACGACCGGGTGTCGCTGTGTCCCTTCACGTTGGGCTCTTTCTTTCTGACCCTCCCCGCCTCCCCGCAGGTTCGTGTGCAAGAATAACGGCGTCCTGTTTGAAAATCAGCTGGTACAGATCGGTCTGAAGTCAGAGTTCAGGCAGAACCTGGGTGAGTAGCAGGATGTGGCTGGCTGATCTCAGATCAGTGGTGTCTGTTAGGGCTGGGCTATTAATTAAATTTAAATTTTTTATTATGATCTTGGCATCCAACGATTTATCAAAGCAAAATATTCAAGATTATACAATAGTGCTGCATTTTGTTTTGCAACGATGCACCAGTTTTGTCTTTGTACTATAAATCCAGGCCATTTCCAGACCCTTTTTATTTGTTTCTTAGTTGAATTATAGTTCAAAGAAATCCAATGTTAAAAAGACAAAAAAAAAGTTCAACAAATGCATGATATTCTCAAAATCAATGAGTAATCGTGTTAAATCGTGATATCAGTATTTACCAAAATAATCATGATTATGGTTTTTGCCATAATTGAGCAGCCCTAGTGTCTAGTGTGCGCTGCTGTGTAATGTGTTTTCCCTGTTTTCCCCGTGTTTTCCCTTTAGGTCGCATGTACATCTTCTTTGGCAACAAAACCTCCACGCAGTTCCTCAATTTCTCATCCTCTGTTATCTGCCAGGACTCTCTCAAAACACATATCCTTCAAGCTGCAATCGAAGGCCTTCAGTTTGCTTGGAGGGGGGGGGGGGGCTTTGTTCTTTTGGGTGGTTCAGATCTGCTGTTTGCTGAGGTTGCGTTGTGTGTGTGAAGCCTCCTTAATGTTCTCCCACAACTCAGCATTCACATCAAGCCCGCTGACCCTACTGTGGACGGAGGAGCCCAGCTACAGCAGATCCTCAACATCGAATGTGTGTCTGACTTTGTGGAGGCACCGGTCTTGAGCATCCAGTTCAGGTCTGTTCACTGCTTTTTAAAAAAAAATTAATTAATGGAAGTATAGCATTTGCTTTTCATTTGACTTTAAGCTTTTTAAGTTAATCTGAGCTGTGGTAGTTGAATGTGTTGCCAGTAGGGGGCAGTGTTCCCTCATGTAACAGGAGCCCTGTGAGTCCTTTGTTGATTGACTTTCTGCATAGACGGATCGGTCTATTCCAGAAGTGGTATGAGGTGACTCACTTGTACCTTCCGTGTCCCCTGCAGGTATGGGGGCACTTTGCAGAACATTGCCGTCAAGCTGCCCATCACCCTAAACAAGTTCTTCCAGCCCACGGAGATGACATCACAGGACTTCTTCCAGCGCTGGAAGCAGCTTAGCTCGTGAGTCAGCCAGTCGGTTACCAGTCCCAAGATCGATAGGCTCCAACGGGCCTGCCCGCCTTTCAGAACTTCATCTGCACTTATTCCTCGTGGTTCTTTTTTTTCGGCCCGTAGTGCGAGTAGTCATGGAGAATGTGATAGCTCTGAATCCTGGTCATTTTCATTTATTTTTTGTTGGTTTGTTTGTTTTAGTCCTCAGCAGGAGGTACAGAAGATCTTCAAAGCCAAGCATTCCATGGACACTGAGGTCACCAAAGCCAAGGTAGGGCGGCAGTTTAATGTCAGACCCGAGTCCACTGTGTTCTCCAGCAGGATGAGTCTGTGGTGTGCTGGGGCTGATGCTCTTAGGTCAGCTAGTCCATTGTTTGCAGTACTTCTGTGCTCCAAAAGGACTGCATGAATGCAGGAGAGGATGGGCGGTTCGGATGCTCTATCTGTGATTCCATTTCAGATCATTGGGTTTGGTGTGGCCTTGTTGGACCGAGTGGATCCCAACCCGTCAAACTTTGTTGGCGCGGGAGTGATCCACACGAAGACGACGCAGGTGGGCTGCTTATTGAGGCTGGAGCCCAACACGCAGGCACAGGTAGGAGGCCCAGAGCGTGTGCTTGCCTGTGCACTTGCCTGTGCGCGGTGCAGAGCTGTGCCCAGTCCAAATGCGTCTCTCTCCCCCTCTCTCTTCACAGATGTACCGTCTCACACTACGGACAAGCAGGGACACTGTATCGCAGCGGCTCTGTGAACTGCTGTCAGATCAGTTTTAGGCTGCTGCTGTGGTGGTGATGTGCTTTGCCTGGGCCGCCATGTGCCCAGTCTGCTACACCAGTGATCAGATCTTTGTGTTTCATCTCCCCTCCTCCTCTTTGATATTTACATTTAAATTGCTTCAATGTACAGTGTAAATTTTTTTGTTATTTTTTTACATATATAAATGATTACCTTTTGTCACTCAGCTTTACTAATAATTCACGGTTTTTTGTCTACTGTTCTATATCCCTGCGCATGTGCAAGCTTCATATATGGGCTTCAGTTCAGCAGACAAAGCTGCTTTTAGCCCCCTTGCCGTTTTGAAAATGATGGTTTAGCCTGTGTCATCTGAGTCTAAAGGAGCCATGACACTGCCCTGTGATTGGTCAGTTTAACTGATGGGGCGCCCTGTGATTGGTCAGTTTACCTGGTTGGGCGCGCTTGTGGTGTCACATGGTTAGAGACCGTGTTTGACTGTGTGGTTCCTGTGCTGCCAGACCCTTTGCACTGTGTGATGGAGCTTCCACCATTGTGCCTTCAGGGCCAGGGTTCCCCAGCAAGGCCCAGCCCATGTGAGAATGGACACACGTCGCCCCCGGTGACCCTGTGCTTTGTACCACAGTGGTTAACTTCACTCTGACAGATATTAGCCAGCCTGTGAAACACCTGCTCTTTCAGCTAGACCCCAGTTCGGTGGTGTAGGGGCCCACTGACACCCACAGTGCAGTTTGCTTGTTGGCCTGCGCATGCTGGGATTGGCCCCACCCCCCAACCTCCATATATGTCTGAATTGCCAAGCTGTTCAAATAAGTGCCTCTATTAAATCACAGCGACAGCCATCAGTGCCTCGGTGGCGCTCAGGTGAGTACAGGGTGGTGCCCAGTGTGTCCTGCAGTGATACTGGCTGCATTGTCTCCTCTGTCCAGCATGGTGAGCTGCTAACAGTGTGAATATTTTCCACTGATTGGATGCTTTTCTAAAGGCAGCCAGTGAGCAAGGCAAAATTAACCTCGCCGGACTGGGTTTGGTGGGACTCGTGTCTACAGTAGAAGTCATTTATTGTGACACAAAGCCATCCCTAGAGTTTTTCCATATGCCGTTTTTCTTTCTACTGTTCGGAATGGCGAAAGAAAATGTGGGACATGTATGGATCTGTGAAAATTTTAACTATTCTCAAGTAACCACAGGTTTGTGATTTGAGACGATGCTCTGATGCCCTGTGACGATTGGCCACTTGTGGTGTCATGTGACCGTTGACTGACAACTGCCACTGCCTTCAGCTCCTCCCTGTGCCTTCAACCAGTGGTGTTTTTCATTTGTTTTTAATGTCAACAAATCTGCTCTGTATCATACACCAGGTTATGGCCATTAAACGTCAATGTGTCACTTTTCTCATGGTTTCATTGTTTCTCAGTTACTGATGTGTAGTTGTTTTTATACCAAGTCAGATCTTGGGGCAGATCTGTTTCGGAATTGCAGCCTTCAGGTCAAGATGGGGAGCTTGCACTGGAACAGCACAATGGCTCACCAACCACATGACGAAACGCCTCAGCATCCCGGTTGACAACCCTTCAGGCCGACATGCGATTCAGTCCCGCCTCCTGAAATGGCGGCCTATCTGCCGCAGCCTGGTGTTACGTGGGCTTCCCTTTGGCCTGGTCCAGCCGCTTGGGTCCTCAGCAGTGAGGATCCTCTGAGCCGGATCACCCTCAGGGAAACGCGCCACATGGCCGTAGTGCCGTAACTGACACTCCCACACAAAGCAGGTAATGTTCCTCATTTGGGACTCCCTGAGTAACTGCTCGTTCGACTCAAAACCAAACCAGTGTTACCTAAGGATTCTCTGAAGAGAGACAGTACCGAAGGAGTCCAGTCAACACACACTGTTGACACCTGTGCCCAAGAGGCCATTAAAAACCTGGATCTTTGTTTTCATTCAGGACATTCGCAAGCCCTGACACTCCGACTCCTCGCTCAGTCTCTCGAGAGCCCCAGTTAGAGCCGCCATTGACCCCACGACGATAACAGCATCGTTATCGTTAAGTCAAGATCAGTGAATCTTCACCAACAGATGCCCCATAGTCACTAGACCCCACAACCCTGCTCAACACCCTGCCCATGCAAGCCCTGAACAGAGTAGGAGCAAGAACACACCCCTGGAGAACCCCAGAATCAACTGGAATGAATGCAGAGGTTCTGCCTCCACTCCACACAGCACTCGCAGTACCAGTGCACATGCCGGCCATGAAATCCCACGAAGTCTCAGGATGTTCCACAGGGCAGCTTAAGCAACCGAGTCAAATGCTTTACGAAAATCAACAAAATCAGCAAAGAGACTGCCGATATTCACGTTTGCGCTCAATGAGAACCCCCAGTGCCTAGGTGCTTCAGAAATACTAAAAAAAAAAAATGATTGAATTATAGCAAATTAAAAAAAGATAATAAAAATGTGTGAAACGGGCACCATGCTTTTTATGGTGGGAAAGTTACTCTGTGAATCCTTACGTATGTGGGAGAACCACGGGGATATTTTAGCTGCTAGTAGTGTTATAAGAAAAACAAGTGGAAACGGAAAATAACGGTGCATTTCAGGAATACCATTTTGTGTAGGGGAGGGGGGGAAGGTATCAGGACAAGTACATGAGCCCTACAGGGGCCCTGGCAAAAACATTTCAAATACCAATGTACTGAGTTCTGCTCCCATACATGTTTTTTTCTCTCAAGTTGGGCAAACTTGTACATTTGGTATGTACTGCCACCTGATGGACATGATGTGAAACGATTTGTAATTATTTTCCATTTGTACAAATACGAATAGAGCTCAACAATGCTATGATCAACTCCCAACAATGGGATTTGAACTGACCACCTTCCCACAGAGCCTGACTAATAATGTTTATCTATCTATCTGTCTGGCCAGAATGGAGATGTATAATAAGAAAGGTGTTTCAGATGCAATCTTTCGGCTCCTTTCGGTCGATTATGTTTTAGATGATCGATAGTGGCAGAGTTTATTTATGCTATTTAAATCCTATTCATCCACCCAGATACTTCTTGCATAACCACTTATCCAGTACATGGTTGCAGTGAGCCTGGAGCCTGCCTCAGAAAGCATAGGGTGTAAGACAGGGGGCTTCCGACGGGCGTCTTTATGTCAGTGAGCCAGTCCTTCCGAAGGGCCTCTTTATGTCAGTGAGCCAGTCCTTCCGAAGGGCCTCTTTATGTCAGTGAGCCAGTCCTTCCGAAGGGCCTCTTTTACTATCACCGGGTGGAGGGGTACAGAGGGTGGGAAGCCAGAGATGGAAGGAGGTGGATTTACTGGTGCACAGGCCCAATGGGGGAGGGCAGTTTGTTTGGATGGTAGGGTGGGGCTCATGAAGGAGGCCAAATAGCTCAAGGTGCCGCAGGAACTGCTACAGACCCAGTGTTCGTATGCTGAAAGCCAGCTTGCTTCCCTTACACTGGCCAGTAACACAGCAGGCCGACACTGGCGGGTGTCGGCCTCCTGTCAGCAGCAATGCACCGATGGTCTCAGCAGAAGGCTGGCCAGACACTGTCAGTTTGACAGGATTTGTGATAGTAGTTAGGTAGCAGCCATTGCAGTGGCTTGATATATACTTCCTGATAGGTTTTTCCCCTCAGACTGTTGCCTGTATTTACTCAGCGTATCAGGCAAATGCGCAGGACCTCTTTCTGTGTTTGCTTAGTGATGGCCAGTATGTCCAGGAATGTAAGAGGCGAGGTTCATTTTATGTGCTGCCTTCACAAGCTTTGAAAATCAATAAAATATAGCTAAAGCTTCATGGCTTCACATTTAGTTTAAGTATTTCATAGCATTAACTATATTTTAGTAATTATGATGACTAAAATATCCGTATACGACAAAATTTTATAATCTGGTTAGTAAAAAGCACAATGAAATTACGTGAAGCCTAAGAATTTCTTGGGGACGGTTTGGTCACTCGGACCGCTTGTGTCCAGTCGATGCTTTACAGGCCACAAGAGCAAGTCTGGGAGTGCGTAACTGGGCCACGAACAAATATCATTCTGGCGTCAGGGAGCTTAGTAATACGCAGCAGTCAGTCAGTGTTGTGCGACTAGGAACTAACAGAATAACAGCATGCTGTGATGTTTTTATTATTATTTGCAATGGGATAATCTACAGATAGTGTATGAATGCAGTGAAAGCCGGTGGTTAGGAATGGAACTGTGTGTTGGGAGATTGGGCTGTAAATTTAAGTTCCAGGATGCTTCCATCCTTATGAGTTTTTACTGTTTTAATGGGCACAGGGATACTGTGAAGTGAGCACAGTTAAGTTTGACGTTCCCGTTGCTCTATTTTGAAAAGATTCCAGAGCTGAGAGAGATCATCCAAACGTGCCGTACGATTGAGAAATCAGTGTCAGTCGGTCCCTGAAGCAATTGGGGATTAAGGTCTTTGCTCAAGGGCCCAATGTCAAATTGACCCGGCAAACTTTTAATCACTAGCATCACGTCTTAACCCGCTGAGCCGTGCTTTGCCACGACGATAGTGATATGGCGAGGGGGTGGAGAATGGAGCAGAAGCTCCTTTGTGTCGGACCTGCATGCCAGATGTTGGCCGATAGTAATGCTGACGTAGGGGAGCAGGTGGCAGACAGGATGGGCAGTGCCCAGTCTCCCCTCTGTCGCTTTACCCACATCCTGGACTGCAGAGCACACCACCTGCTCTCGCTATTGTTCCAGGCTGCCAGGCACGTGAGGGAGACGTCTCAGGCCGTGTTCCCCTCCCGGCGTGTGCTTGAGGGGAACCAGAAACTAGAGCAGGGCCAAGAATACATAGATGCCATGGCCACTCCTTCCACATCCCTCATGGCATGACAGCAAACCTCTGGTAGAGCTATCAGCTTTTCATTCAACAAGTGTTTTCATTTCAATTTTGTACATTATAATGCACATTCATAATGCATATACACATGGCTATAAATATTTATAAAAAGGCATAACAATTTATAGCCATGTTTATAATGCATTATAATGGTCTGTATATGCATTAAGGATGCTTTGTACTGCGTTATAAAGGTATCTATCATTATGGATGAGAGCTTCATAAAGCATTCGTAATGCATAATACATGTAGCTATAATGTGTCATACCTTTTCATAAATATTCATAGGCACGTTTATAATGTTTTATAACTGCATTATTATTTGTAAGGAATATGTTTAAAAATTACTAAAATCATGGCCTTAAGTAAAGTGTTCAGTTGGATTTGATTAATTTCTTCAAGTATAAATAATCTCACAGAAAGTTTCTGACTCCTCTCTCTGTTGTGATTCAGAGTTACTTGATGCCTTCTTCACTTCCCCGAAATGATCCCAGAGCTTCCTGTTTTTTTTCTTGTAGTTTTCATTTCTATCACTGAATTGTGCATTAACCAAAGCTCCTCCCTCAACCTTTACGAAACACTGTAGCCAATCCATCAACATTCATCAACAAGCTACACTGTCAATGTCTGAACAGCTAGATTCAGGACCCCCTGACCACAATCATACTGGTGCACAGTGTATACATGTGTTCCATTTATAGACATTAACAAAAAAAATTACTTAAAAACAGAGAGAGCCAAAAAAAGAACACAGTATCTGGGCAGGCATGTTGTTCTCCTAATTAGTCAAACTGTATATGTGTTCTTGGCACTACAAGCTGAGGTGTGAATGTGCTGGAATGGCATAGTTGTTAGTTTCTCATTGAGCTGTGTAAGCTTTGTAGGGCATAACCACAGAAAGGGCCGTATCATCGTTGACCCTTCGCTAGACGATAGTTGGGACACAGCTTCTCAATAGTGTAACTCTAAATAGTGTAAATATTTTAAAGATATATTACATGCACTTATTGAATACAGAAATAGAACAATTCTTAAAATATTCCCAGATCTACAGAGCTATAGTACTGTGCAAACGTCTTAGTTACAGAAAACAATGCTTAAATGATCTTCATGTTGGCGTAATACTGTTACATTATGTCTGTCAAAGTGTGTCAGCTTACCCATTTCAAAACCTGGTATATACAGTAGCTATCCAATACTCCAACGCATTTGTCAACTTAATTACTAGCGTACCATGTTTGGCTAATCAATGCCTCACTGAGTGATTTATATTAACTGTGGAGAGGTTTGGGAGCCTAAGTGGTGTTCATCGAGCTATCCAACAAGATATCAAAAACTTTTTGGAGAACAGGAGAAATTCTTGTTTATTTTGTATTGTGTTAATGTTAATTTGAATATATTGTAATGTTATTTTTTTCTGAGCAAATATACATTTACTACCTTACACATTTTCTTTGACTGTATAAGGTATAAGCATCAGTATAAGTTCTGCTTTCCAAGGGCATCCTGCACGTCTGTAAAAGGCAGGTGACTTAGTGTTTCTTATACAGGCGACTGATCTCTGATATTGGAGCATATCGTATGAAAAGCATCTATTTTAAGGATTTTACTGCATCCACCCATTAAGTGCTTGACAGTCTGCCAGATACATTTAACATACATTTAAATAATTCTTCAAATGACACAAAAATTAAGCAAATGAAAATAACTGCATTTTTGTTCTTTTTGAGTGTTTCTGCAAGTCTAATCAGAGGCACAGTGACAGGACCGGCCGGGCAGGCGACAGCTTGGGGCCCCGAACTGGAAGAGGGCCCCGAGGACAGCTGATTACATTGCACATTGCAACGACAAATCTGCTTTGTCATTCTGTTTTTCACGAAAATTAAAGACAAATTGTGTTTATTAAATTCTCTTTGTTGATATTAATTTACACTTCACAGTAAAATAAAGGTAATACATTTTGCCATTCTTCCCTACGGCTCCCAGCATCCCTAGAGTCGCCTTTGAGTCTGACTGACAGAGATCATTTTAAAAGCATCTGTCTCATATGCCAAGTTTGTAGACTGTGCTGCGCACTGTGTGTAAAAGAGAAACAGAATATCTTTTTTTCAATTTCAGATACTAATTCAATGTATCTTCAAATACTGCAGCACTATTTAATTTCCGGGCCAGTCCTGTCATAAATCCCGGTGAGCATATGGTGTACACTATCACGAAGCTTTGCATCAATAATTATTCAGTTTGTTCTGACTAATACTGATGTGCAAAATTTATAATACCATTTGTTGTATTTATGATGCATTTGCTAATTAAAATCCTATTATCTCTTTATGGTGGAAAGATCAGACTCCCAAATAAAGTTTATTACCAGCAGTGTCGCCTTCGTTTCCTCCTCATCTCCGCAGGATCCTGCTGGAGCTCTGGAACCGCCCAGCCGTTTGCGTGACCTGCTAGTTTGTCCCCATCTAGGTAAGCAAGCAGGCCAAGTGACTGCCCTGGATAAGTCTGGTGTAAGAAAAGCTGAAACATTACACTGCTTAGACCAGAGGCCTCAGACTTGCAGCCCAGAAGACAGTTTTATAGGCCCACAACAGGCTTTCAATTCATCATCTAATCTTCCATTTTCCCACAGAGAGTACCCCCTCTCCTGGCTTAGTAAGATGGATCTAGCCAGTGGCCCCTTGCGAGGAGAGCAAGGTTGGCATGAAACTGGACACTCTGGTGACAGTGGCAGATAAAAGGTCACTTAAGAAACTACTGGACATTATGGACAATGTCAGTCACCCTCTGCACACTTTCATAAACAACCAGAGGAGTTCGTTCAGCGACAGGTTGCTTCTCCCTAAGTCTAGGACCAATAGACTTAAAAACTCCTTCGTCCCACATGCCACCAAATGTACAACTCCTCGCTGAGTGGGAAGGGGAGTGGAAACAGGAGGACAGAGGAATAAGGGGAGAAACAAGAATAATAAAAACTTTGACAACACTGGACCAGTATTATAACTCAAACTGCAATAATGATCTGTGCAAAAGCCCTGTTATTTATTATCTTCTGAACAATAACCTTTATGCCAAATATGTATATACTGCTTTTATATTATATATGTGTACTCATTCTATTTTTTATTTTTTTTTCCCCCCATCCCCCAAATTTTAATTCTTGTAACTGTAATGTGTCGGTGTACTGCTGCTGGAACTAAATTTCCCGGAGGAACCTTCCCGAGGGATTAATAAAGTACTATCTAATCTAATCTAATCTCTAAGAGCTCTCAGCCAGTGCGCCCTTGGGAGAAGAAGTCTCAACCAGTGGGTCCCTGGGAGAATGACCCCCCAGCCAGGGGACCCTTGGGAGAAGAAGTCTCAACCAGTGGGTCCCTGGGAGAATGACCCCCCACCCAGGGGGCCCTTGGGAGAAGGGCCCCCAGCCAGTGACTCCTGGGTTATTTGTATTTCAGTCTCCTGGCTTAGACTGAGTGCCATTTATAACTTCCCAGTGGAGGCAATGCAAGAGGCATCAAAGCAATGCAAATATGCACATACATAAGTGTAGAATACAAATTAAACATGAAAATGTAAAATCCTGGACATTTCAGGGAATTTAGGTACCAATAAAAGAGGACCTGTGGTCACCCTAAATATGTAAGCAGAGCTGGAGCCAGACCCAAACCCAACTGTTTTACTCAAAGAACCACCATGCTGAGTATTAATGTCAAATATGTTGAGTTACCTAATGCTTTTATCCAGAAAGACATTCAAAGGTGAGCATACTCCCCAAACACAAGGAGATGGTCACAGGTTCAAGGTTAAGGTTGATTCCTTCTAGTTGTACCCTTCAAGAATTCATTTAACTGGAATTCCTCCAGGAACCATCAGGGTGTTCCCGGGTGCAGTGTGTATTCTACCTGTGGCACCAGCCTGTCTTATGTTTGCTAAGACTCCATAAAGTGCCTGTTTCCATGCAGGTAGTGGGACCTTAGAGGCGTGGGCCTGAAGAAGCCTGGCCCATATAAGGAGACACAGAGCTCAGCTTGGACATTTCCTGCACTGTGATTCCAAGTCCTCAAGGTGTCTGCCAGGATGGGGACCATGCCCATCTGCATCTTGGCACTCTTACTCTGCTGGACGCTCAAGGTGGAGACAGGAGCAGGTAAGATGGAAGGCCCTCATTAAGCACAGGCACTGAAAGGGTTACCCATATGCGGGGTCCTACGCTGACATGGTGGGCCACAGGAGATATAAAGCTTACTATAAATCAATGGAACATCAATAATATACTAATCAAAGTGTGCAATGCCAAGGTTAGTCTTGAATTTTTGCATACGTCCATTTAATTATGTTCACAGCTTATCAGCTGTCTACCACTGCAGCGAGACAGTATCAGACAAGGGAGATGTAATGTTAAGGGAGATGTAATGTTAGCCTTGTATCATTGTGCCGGTTCGCTTGCCAGTGAACAGCCGGTAAACTCCAGTGGTAAAAGAAAGCTGGTTAGCGCAGTTTCCAAGTAGAATAGTCTATTACAGCTGGAACCAGGGCAACTTTGTCTATCCTGAGAACTGTCATTAAAAATGCAAATAACGTACATTGCTAACATTTAAATGATCATTTTATGTTATATTCTTAAATGTAACTTATCAGCCACGATTATGGTCATACAGATCAAAGAGGAATTAATAAGGATTCAATAGAACTGGGATTACTGGGTTAAAATCCTGTATGGGAGGTTGTATGTTTGAAAGTGTTCATTGTATGGTAACATGTACTGCATCAATGAGATGTAATTGGTTATTACAGAAGTGTTTATTGCCCTTTGACAAACAGATTATGGTTGCCCAATGCTAATTTTGTTGTATTGCGTTATCCACATGTTTTCATAACATAACAACCTGTATTCCAGCCTGGAATCAAAATCACATCAACAGCATCTGCAGCACCTGGGGCAAAGACCACTTCAAGACCTTCGATGGCGATGTGTATCAATACCCAGGCTTGTGCGAGTACAACTTGGCCTCTGACTGTCATGAGTCTTTCCTGGAATTCTCTGTACACATGAAGAAGGCCCTGGTTGACGGTCATCCATCCATCAGTCGAGTGGTGGTCACCATCAAGGACCTGGTCATCATTCTCAGCAAGAACTTGGCTACCGTCAATGGAGAAAAGTGAGCACCTTTGTTTTAAGGTTTTTAAAAAGCAGGAATTTTATGGGAAAATGATGAAAATCATACCTGTATTTCAGACAACAATTGGTTCAGTAGTTATTAAAAAATCAACACATAAACACATACGCTAAGCCAGTGGTAAAATTTAAGACAAATCCAAATAATAAGTGGACAGGGATATTGACGTGTGAGTGTTACAGTGAGAAGGAGTGGTACCTGAATCCTGGAGTGATATGTTTGGTGTGTATGACACTCAAAGTGATGTGGTCTGCAATAGAGCTGCATATAAAGGTGATGCTAGAATTTTATACATAATATACAATATACAAGTATAAAAGACTGTCATGCTGTTGATGCATTAATGCCATGGATCTTAGCTCAAGCTTTGGGACACTGATGACCTGCTGCAAACCTTTCCGGTCATCAGACTCCCTCTCCATCTTCAAGAAATGCCTCATGACACAACTGCTCCAGGAGCACCTCTACTAGCCTGAAAGCCCTTAATGTTGCCCTTACTGCTGCTTGAATAGTTGTCTTGTTTGGAAGATGTTGTACATCTAAGAACATTAGAAATTTATAAACGAGAGGAGGCCATTCAGCCCATCAAGCTCGTTTGGGGAGAACTTAACTAATAGCTCAGAGTTGTTATTTAAAGAAATCCAGGGTTTTAGCTTCCGCTACACTAACAGGAAGACTATTCCATACTCTAACTACACACTGTGTAAAGAAGTGCTTTCTTAAATTCATTTTAAAATGTTCTCTCGTTAATTTCCACTTATGGCCACGAGTTCTAGTACTTAAACTAATATTGAAGTAGCCATTTAGCTGAACAGCATCCAGACCTGTTAGAATCTTACAGTATATACCTGGATCATGTCCCCCCTTGGTCTCCTTTGCTTGAGGCTAAACAGATTCAGCTCAGCTAACCTCTCCTCATAAGACATTCCTCTAGGACCAGGAATCATTCTTGTAGCCCTACATTGAACCCTTTCCAAGGCAGCAATGTCCTTTTAAGGTATGGTGACCAAACCTGCGCAAAATATTCTAGGTGGGGTCTTACCAAGGAATTGTATAACCGTAGCATCACCTCCCTTGACTTAAACTCCACACACCTAGAGATGTAAGCCAACATCCTATTAGCCTTTTTTATTGCTTCCCCACACTGGCGAGAGTGGGATATGGAAGCATCAACATATACACCGAGGTCTTTCTCATAGTCAGCTACCTTTATTTCAGTGGAACCCATAAAATATCTGTACTTTATATTTCTGCTCCCTGCATGGATTACCTTACATTTATCTGTGTTAAATTTCATCTGCTAAGTATCAGCCCATTCGCTAATTAAATCAAGATCCCGTTGTAGCCTCTGTGCTGATAGTTCAGTATCTGCTATACCACTCACCTTGGTGTCGTCTGCAAATTTAACCAGTTTACTGTATGTATTGGTGTCAATATCATTAATGTAAATAAGGAACAATAGTGGTCCTACAATTAAACCCTGCGGTACCCCACTATGAACACAGACCCACATTGACATTGTGGCTCTAATAACTACTCGCTGCTTCCTGTCTGTTAACCAGTTTTCGATCCAAGCTGCTACAGTTCCCAAAATCCCTGCAGCTTTAAGCTTAAGCAACAGCCGTTTGTGGGGGACAACATCAAAGGCCATCTGGAAATCTAAGTAGATCACATCGTAGGCCTTTTTGTGATCAAGTTCTCTTGTAACTTCCTCAAAGAACTCAAGTAGATTACTTAAACAGGATCTACCTCTCCTAAATCCATGTTGGCTATCCCTCAGAATGTTATTTGTGTAGCACCTGCTCCATTTCTGCTTATAGTTATACCCGGACATTCACTTGAAGCTCAGCCTAGCTGCACTTATGTCCAGTCGACTCCTTGACAGCTGGCCATATGTTTGTAATGTGCTATTTGCCTCATGTGGCAACAGCGTCTGCTGAAGTGAATGACATCGTTTGTTTCCTCTCAGGGTGGTGATGCCATACTATGGCTCAGGCGTCTTGCTGGAGCGGAACCCGACCTACACCAAGGTCACCGCCAAGCTGGGCCTCAGCGTCCTGTGGAATGGGGAAGATGCCGTGACGGTGAGATCTTTCACACTGATCCATCCACAACGAGCACCAGCTAATCACTGCTTCCTTTTAGCTGTTTTGATTGAGATCTGAAGACTTGTCATTTAAAGAATACAGATGAGCAGCGTTATTTAACAAAACCAACATTTCCTCATTTTATTGCAGCTGGAACTCAGTTCCAAATACGCTAATCGCACCTGTGGCTTGTGTGGGGATTTTAATGGCATTCCTCTCTACAATGAGTTCCTTCTGGAGGGTGAGTGACAGCTAATCCTTTTTGACCCATGACCCTCTAAAGTTCCATTTTAACCTAGATGAAACAATTGCTGTTTTAGCAAAAAACATAACATTCGTTGTGGGTGCAAGATGAGAGAACAAAAAAAGCAATTACCTTTACAATAAATTATTAATATGATTTGGCAAGTAAAATTATTTTTTTAATATAATTTTGTAATTATATTTCAGCATTGTTTTAATTTTAAGTATAATTTTATTTATTCTTAATACAGTACTATACCATTTTCATCTAAGCAGTAGGGGGTGCGATTTCAGCTTTGAGGGTGATTTGGTGTCCTGCTCTGTACAGGTCTTGAAATCAGCACCATTGAGTTTGGCAACCTGCAGAAGGTTCACATTCCCACTGAGGACTGTGAGGACCCTCTTGAAGAAGACATTGAAGATACGGCAGTTAATACCTGCTCTGGTTTCGTGAGTGCATGTCCTATGCTCGAAACTCTGACCTTCCATATCCTTTCCAACCGCCCCGCATAATTAACTTCCCTTTCTCCTCTTTCTTAACAAAGCTTGCCAGATGTGCCCAGATGCTGCAGGCAGACTCATGGAGCTCTTGCACCAGAGTATTGAGCCCGGAGCCCTATATCCAGGCCTGCGCCCAGGACTTGTGCAGCTGCGGAGATACGCTGGATGACTTCTGCCTGTGCAGCACCCTTGCCGAGTACTCTCGACAGTGCTCCCACGCCGGCGGCACTCCACCCAACTGGAGAACACCTGACTTCTGTGGTGAGCCTCTATGGCGTGACCTTGCCGCCAGTGTTCACCAGTGTTGTGGTTGCTCATATATATTTACGCGTGTTAATGGGGAGGATGGTGTGTTCCTCGGCCGGTAGGCCTCTGTGCCTGGCATCGGAAAGTCACCAGATCAAATTCACAGAATAGTTGCATCTCTATTGGGCCCTTGAACAAGGCCCTTAATCCCCCAAAACATGCTCCAGGGGAGCTGGATGAAGGGCTGATCCTGCGCTCAGACCCCAAGCTTCACTCTCACCTCAGTATGACTGTGTATTAAAAAGGAGAGCATGATGGGATATTAGAAATGAACACGTTCCTATGTACCTGTACTGATACTTGTGCGAATGAAAGAAGTTTTGCTTAATATTAAATATTTGCTTGCTGCTTCAGTGTTTGTGATATTTTGGTGCTTTCTGCCATATCCTAAACCATGAGCCTCAGTGTCTAGTGAGACTTAATGGTAGTTGCATGATAGATGACAGATCCACTTGCATAAAAGTCGTTCTTGGTCATGTCTATGCAGTTAAGAAGTGTCCCTACAACATGGTGTACCTGGAGAGCGGCTCGCCATGCCTGAACACCTGCACCAACACAGACACCAAGTCCCTGTGTGATGAGCACAGTGTGGATGGATGTTTCTGTCCTGAAGGTCAGTGCTTGTGTCAAATGGGCCCAGAGAGTCTGTCCATGGGCACAGAGGTTGTAAAGAGGATCTCACGGTTCATTTCATCCTTCACAAAAGGGTTTCAGTTACTTTTTTTGCAAAAATATATATCCTGGGAGAAGCTACTGGCCATGGTTGGTCTGTCATATAAAACATCCGAGAAGATGCCCCTCCTTCATGGCTCACCATTTTGGTTTGGCTCCTTCTCCCAGGGACGGTGCTGGACGACATCTCGGACAGGGGTTGCATACCGCAGGATCAGTGCCAGTGCTTCCATCAGAGGTCCTATGAAACTGGGGAGACGCTGCTGCTCGAGCATGAGGAGTGGTGCGTCCCCCTCCCCATCCACCTTCTCGTTTAGTTAGTGCTGACTGGTGCAATAGGCAGAAACAGAGAGAGCTGGGATGTAGAGAGTAGTGCGTGGCTCAGGGGGTTAGGCCTCTGTGCCTGTGATCAGAAGATTACCAGTTTGAGTCCCATGCTGGGGTGCTTTTCCCAAAAGCATAGTCGTTAACTGTGTTAGGGACTAGGTTAACCACATTAGCAACTAGCGTAGTTGGAACTATGCAACTGAATGGGTCCAACCATGTAAGTTGCTAACGGGAGCTTTTAGGAAACATACCCCCTGAGTAGGATAATCACATCTCTGCTGGGCCTTTAAACAAGGCACTTAAACCCCCCCGAAATGCTCCAGGTGACTGGATGGATGGCTGACCCTGCAGTCAGAGCTTGTGGTACCTATACAAAAATGTTCTGAGGGCAAAATAAAAATGATGGGTCCAGAGAGATAACCAATCACATTGCAGAGGAGGTGGGTCTATGCAACTAGAGGAAGTAGGACCAAGACATCTGATTGGTTGCTCCCACCTCTTCTACTTTCTTGGACCCACCCCCTCTGAAATCTGATTGGTTATCTCTCTGAACCAATCATTTTTTTGTTCTGCCCTCAGGACATTTTTGCGTAAGTAAAACTCCCATGAGCGCGTTCAGACTCCAAGCCTCACTCCTACCTCTATATGTGTGTGTGTGTTAAAAAGGAGAGCAAGATGGGATTTGAGAGACCTAATGCATTCTCATCTGTCTATTCTCATATGTGGGCAAATAAAGTTTCATTCCATGCAAAAAATGCAGGGCGTCCTTGCAGATAGATATTATAGTGTTTGAAAAGGCTTGGGTTCAGTGGGACATGTTGTGTTTCAGCACCTGTAACCAGGGGATGTGGTCCTGTAAGAAGCTGCAGAGAGCAGGCGAATGTGCTGTAGAGGAAGGCTCACACATCACCACCTATGATGGCAGAACTTTCACCTTCCACGGAGACTGCTACTACGTCCTCTCCAGGGTGGGTCTTTGGGTGATGCCTGTGTTTGGCGCTCGGCACAATAAGGAAAGCCTGCCAGCTTCACTGCCAAAAAACAATGACCAGAAATGTTACAGTGGTCCTGTGGCAAATACTGAAGTGACTCACGGCAGTTTCCCTATTCTCAGGACTGTGAAGGATCTAAGTTCACGGTGTTGGGCCAGCTGGTTCCCTGTGGCATCCAGGAGAGCGACACGTGCCTGAAGACAGTGGTGTTAATTCTGAATAATGACAAGAGCAACGTGAGTGTCATCCAAGCCAGAGCACAGCAGTGTGTAAATGCTGTCTCTTTGATTTGGTGATGAGATCTGGTTTGGTATTTATAACATGAACCTTCAGGCCCAATGTGCTGAAAAGTACTGTCAACATGGGACTATACTAATGCTATTTCTCGAATATTATAGGCCTTGGTGTTTAAATCTGATGGAAAGGTGACCCACAATGCAGAAATCACTTTGCCATACTGGACAGGTGAGAATAAAGTTGGATTAAAGTGTATTACACATCAGTTTAAGAATCACATTGGTTCCTCTATTGCATATATGATCTGCAGTACGAGATCCATAAAAAAGATGGTTAGGGATGGTTTCCGTCATTCACTTTAGACCTGATGAGTTTGTTTTCTTTATTTTGGCAGCTGATCTGACTCTCTTCAGACCATCCTCCTTCCACATCCTGCTTCAGACCAGTTTTGGGTTACAACTCAGCATCCAGCACGTTCCCGTCATGCAACTGTATGTGACTGTGGATCCAGCCTATCAGGGAAAGACATGTGGTGCGTCCAGGGGCTTCCTTGTCCCCATTCAAAAAGTCACCCCCATCTTTAATAAATAAATAGCTAACGAGTAGCATTAGAAGTTAGCTAGCTATCTGGTTGGCAGAACATGCTGCTTCAGCATCTCTTAAATAAGTGGAGAATGCCAGTGTCAACTAGCTCTGGATATGCTACTGAAAATATGAGGGCCAGAAGTTAGGGGTGAAGAATAGGGATTTAATTCCAGTTCAGCACACTTCCTATTGTTAACAGGGCTAAATGTATATTTTTTTGGTGCAGGTCTGTGTGGAAACTTCAATATGGTTCTGTCTGACGACCTGATGACCCCCCAGGGCTTAGTGGAAGGCACTGCCTCCTCCTTTGCCAGCTCTTGGAAGACCCAGGGCAGCTGTCCAGACAGAGCCGACCGTTTGGATGACCCCTGCTCTTACAGTGTGGAGAATGGTTAGCTTTCGATGCCCATGAAAATCACCCGGACATTTCTCTGTTTGCCATATATGCTGACCGATGTGAGGTTTGGATAACCTCAGAGGGAGGACAGTTTGACTTGTGGTTTAGACCAATGCAAGGTTTCCCTATCCCGCTTCCAGTAGAACATTGTGTTAGCCCCAAACAACCTGGGCTGAAGGACAATATGGGTTCAGCTGTAGAAATGCTTCTGAAGGGATGATGTTGATATTTTGGTGACACCATCTTCTTGCCTCACTAGAGAACTATGCTGAACATTGGTGCTCCTTGCTAAGGGACCGTAAAGGCCGGTTTGCTGCATGTCATGCAGAGGTTGACCCTGAGAGCTTCTACAAAGTACGTAGCAGTCTCCCTCTGCCCAGTCAACATCTATATCGATGGTGGCAAGGACTGACTTTTTAAATTACCTTGCAGAGGTGCAAGTACTCAAGCTGTAACTGTGAGCGGAGCCAGGACTGCCTGTGTGCTGTGTTTTCCTCCTATGTGCGAGCTTGCACAGCCAAGAACATCATCATCCAGGACTGGAGAACTGATGTCTGTGGTCAGTGGATCCTTCCTAAGCCAGCCGATGGATGTTTTCTTTGCTGTATTTTGTTGACTAGAGTGTTTCCCAGCCCCGTCCTTAGGAAACCCAAGTCGGTCCATGTTTTAGTCCCTCCCAGCTCCCAGTGGGAGCAAAACTGTAGACTGTTTGGGGGTCCTTGAAGACCAGGTTGGGAACCACTGGACTACATTGGCTCCAAACAGCCACGTGAAAACTTCGAACATTTCTGTTTCAACCGGACAGATAAATACAGCGAGAGCTGCCCCGCCTCCCAGACCTTCTTCTACCAGCTGCAAGAATGCCAGCGCACATGTCGCTCCTTGGCGTCCGAAGGCCAGGGCTGCTCCACAGACTTCCTCCCTGTGGATGGCTGCTCCTGCCCCGAGGGTCTTTATCAGGATGACCGGGGTATCTGTGTCCCCATGGCAAAATGTCCCTGCTATCACAATGGTGACCACATCAAGCCTGGCAAGACTATTACCATAAATAATGAGCTCTGGTAGGTACCATATTTCATCTTGGACTGTGTTAGTGGGTGGTGTGTAGATCATCGGGTGAGCATGCTGTGTCTGCACTCAGAAGGTCTGATGTTCAGCTGTTTCAAATCCCGTGGTTAGCAGAGTGATATCACTGTTAGGCCCTTCAACAAGAATCTCCCAAACTAATTGGTGTTTGGCTTTAAGCATGTGCACCAACGGAAAGCTGCGCTGTCAGTCTTGGAAGCTTCGCTCACAGAGTAAGTGACCCACTGGTTCTCCTGGATCTGTACTTGGGTCACATTTAGCTCACTGCTTACAGCTAAGGTTCGCTCTCCTCTTTACAGGCTGTGCCCCTCCCATGGAGTTCTTCAGCTGCTCCACAGCCAATCAGACGGAAATGGGCCGAGCCTGTGCCAAGACCTGCAGGAACCTGAACATCGAATGCGTGAGTGTCCCATTCCATTATTTCCCTGCCGTAAGTGGCATCAGTCTGTCAGCTTACACAGACCTGCTTGGGAGCCTGACTCCCTGAAGGTCCCTGACTCTGACCAGAGCGTTACACCCTGCTCTTATTAAAGCAGCCTCATTTTCTATAATGTTAGCATGCCCGCGGGGGTTGGACAGCCAGTCTCTGCAGTTTTTAGTTCCTCACCTCTGCTGTCTTCTGCATTCTTTCTTCCCCTCTTTCCTTTTCCCTGTTTTATGCACCATTTTCTATAAGTGATGTAACAGTTTCCTGCCACCAGGGGTGCAGATTCCAAGAATTTTCAGAGAAGAAAACTTCCCACACAATTTATGAGAATTTTCAGGAATTTATGGGAATTATTGTGGAATTTGTATTTTCTTGTGCATATACTGTTGTTAAACATACAAAATAATAAGTATACTAATAAAAAGGGAGAGACTTTGAAGACATTTAGAGTTAATTTAACCCTTCTGAGCATGAACACACATATACTTTTCTAACATTACTAAACAGAAACAGATGGCGTAGGGCAGGAGTCTTAATGGCGAAAGTCAGAGTCTGTTCTGTCTGGAGAAACTGTTCAAAGTCATAGATCGAATAAAGTCAGAATCCGCACCCTGGGGGTCACTATCCACTTCAGCTGAGGTGTTGAGTGAGTGCGGGTCAGTCTGAAAGGCCCTCAGGTTTGCCAAAATTACCTCTAGCTGTACGTTTATGGGCCTGCTCCCTCGGATGAACAAAAACCCTTCCACCAGGTTGATGCCTTGTTACATCATCACAGAATGAACTTCACTAAAACATCGATGACATCAGTTAGCTAGCAAGATTGCATAGCTAGCTGGTTAGCTAGCTATATTAGCTATTAGCCTGTTTGATGGGTTACTTTAGGGGCAGCTGATTAATTTAATGCACATTATATATCCACGATTATGGTTTCATTTTATATTTAAAACAATAACAAAAATATGAATTTACCACAGCTTAGCCTTTCTGCTCATCTGGTGTAGACTGATACATGTGCACATGCAAGCAGTAAAAAAGTAGAAACTTCAAATAGCTACAAAACTGCATTCTCCAAAGTGACCACCGTGGTGCATTAGTAATTTCCATGTAATAATTTCCATGGAAACTTCACAGAAACTTGCTGGAAATTTATTGGAAATTTTCCACCCATTTGCAACCCTGTGAAGTGCCTTTGGGCAACCGTGTGATGAAAGGCGCTATACAGACAATAGCTTTAAAATTGAATTGAAAGGAAGGCCATTCCTCTCATGCAGTTTGCAGAAACATGCGAGTCTGGGTGCTTCTGCCCCAACGGCCTGGTGGACGACGGTCAGGGAAACTGTGTCCAGGAAGAAGACTGCCCATGCTCTCACGATGGGAAGATCTACGCCTCCGGCACCCGGCTGCCATACATGTGCAACACATGGTCAGTGCTTGAGATTGTTCTACAATATCTAGCTGCAGTTGAATATAGCTGCAATTGAACATGACATGTACCAGTAATCTTTATAACTCTACCTATTACTATTTGTAAGGCACCATATCATGCAAATAGCTAAAACTTAAAATGCTAACAATAGCAACGACAGGAAGCCTCTCTGGTGTTGAAATGGCACCAGTCACCACTTGCATGTCTGAGCCAGGAAATCAAGGAACTTATAGTTAGTTAATAAGTAAAATCAGGTGCATAGTTGATAGAATCTAATGTGTACTTGCTGGGATGCACTAGGTGGATTACCTGTGGAGTACACCATTTTATTAGCGATTTATAAGTACTATGTCTTAATTCCTCATGATAATAACATGAAAGGATGTGGACATGCAATGGTGGTGCCGGTATTGGAGTAATAATACCCCAACCTCATAATTGCACAGTACACTTTACTGCGCAGCAGGGTTGCCAAGTTTAGTCAGCTGGCTGGCGTGAGATTTTCAATTTGAGACAAGTCTGCACAAAGATTTAAAAGTTATATAAGCATTTTATGTCCTTGTAGACAGTCTGTAGGGTTTGCAAACTGCCCCAACGCTTTTGATTTAACTAATTTTAGGTTTATAATGGAATAATATAGATTCGTTATAAGATTTCTTGCGTGAGCGTGAGAGTTGGCAACCCTGCTGGATAGAGTGATGATACTCCAACCTCATGGAAGTACAGTACATTTTACAGGACGGAGTGAGAATACTCCAGCTTCATCAATGCACAGTACACTTGACTAGACAGAGCAATATTGCTCATTACACTTCACTCTGCATTTTTCCTGTTAGCCTTTTCTTTTATTTATTTGACATTATTTCATTTATTTATTCTTTGTTCAGCATGGTTTTATTTGTCTTGTGCTGTCAACTCCTGTTACGTTACATGTTACCGACTGGACAGCGCAAGTAAGAATTGTGCTGAATCTGGGTTAAGCAGATCAATTGCATCGCATGGAGGGGCTGCAGCAAGAGCCCCAAGTTAGCCGCCGTTTACCGTGCAGGAGAATGATAGCGCTTGTATCCCTGCAGCACCTGCAAGCGAGGGATGTGGGGCTGCACACAGGATAAATGCTCGGGCACCTGCACCATCTACGGCAGCGGACACTACTCCACCTTCGACGAGAGGCAGTTCGGCTTCCATGGAGACTGCGGCTACGTCGCAGTGCAGGTTTCTGCATCCGTGATACGATCTGCCAACAGAAAATTGATCTCAGATGACATGACATGGGATTTAGATGCCAAGCACCTGATTATCATCTAGAACAGGGGTGGCCAATCTTATCCGCAAAGGGCCGGTGTGTGTGCAGGTTTTTGGGATAACCTGTTGGTCAGCTGTTCAAACCCAGGTGTGAGGACTCTTCAGCCAATCAGTCCTCTAATTAATGACCCAATTAGGGAGTTGCAACGAAAACCTGCATACACACCGGCCCTTTGCGGATAAGATTGGCCACCTCTGATCTAGAATCTTTTGCAACTGAATACCATATCCTTCTTGTAGTTACATTATATTACAAATTTCATCATATTATTATTTATGAAATAATAATATATCTGTATTTTATAGGACAAGTGTGGGAACACAACAGGCAAAGGCAAATTCAGTGTGATAACTGAGAATATTCCATGTGGGACAACAGGAACCACTTGCTCCAAGTCAGTCAAGATTTACCTTGGGGTAAGGATTCAGTTGGCCGAGGTTTTTGGGGGGCTTTCTCTTGCACAGTAGTGTCATTCTTTCATTGACTTGTATGTCCCCCCTCCTTCCCACAGAGGACAGAAGTGATGTTAGCAGATGGCAAGTATGAGGTCATGGACCTGGAAGAGGGTCCCGCAGTGATGTACCGGGTCAGAACCGTCGGCTTGTACCTGATTGTGGAGTCCAGCATAGGCATTGCAGTGCTCTGGGACCGCAAGACATCTGTGCGCATCATCTTGGAGCCGGAGCACATGGTGAGCAGGAGAGAGCCGGCAGCACTGTGTAGGCGAGCTCATTAGCATCCTGAGCTCACTGCATGGTCACTGAAAGTGCAGTGAACAGTGAAGTCATATGATCCATTGTAGGGAGCAGTATGTGGTCTTTGTGGGGATTTCGACGGAAACGGAATGAACGACTTCAAGACCCAGAGCCAGCTGCCCGTGAGCAGCTCCCTGGAGTTTGCGAACAGCTGGAAGGTGTCTCCATTCTGTCCTGACGCTGGAGCTGACCTTGACCCCTGCATCCTGAACCCCAACAGACATAACTGGGCCAAACTGCAATGTAGCATCATCAAAGGAAGGACCTTCGAAGTCTGCCATGAGAAGGTAGGGTGGACCAATGCCAGTCAACTCATCAGGGAACCCTGGCACCACCTTCTGAGGGGACACCAACTTAGCATGTCGATTTTACTTTATGGACATGGGGATGGTGTATGCGGTGAGGCTTGCCCAGAGTGTCAACTCCACCCCCAGATTCCCATAGTTCTGTGGCCTGGTGCACCAGTGGTGGGACACTCATGCTTCCAGGCTCTCTCAGTCAAACAAAAAAAATCTTATGGTACATCTATATTATTCCATTATAAACCTAAAATTAGCTACATCAAAAGTGTTTGCAAACCTTACAGACTATTTGCAAGGTAATAAAACATGTAAATGCGTATGCAGACTTGTCTCCAGTTGAAAATCTCACGCCAGCCAGTTGACCTGCTACTGTACAACATAACTGAAAGTGTGTTGCAAATGCTAATGCCTGTAGGTGGACCCCCAACCATACTTTGACAACTGCGTGATGGACTCGTGCGCCTGTGACACCGGGGGCGACTGCGAGTGTTTCTGCACGGCTGTTGCCTCCTACGCCCAGGCCTGCAATGAGGCAGGCGTCTGTGTCGCCTGGAGGACCCCAGACATCTGCCGTAGGTTGACTTTTCCTTTTAAAAAGACCAGTCAAGCTGTCTGTATGTTTAAAGGAGTTTATCTAGTCCCCTAGTGATGAGTTTAGAAGGGTTGCCAACTCTCACCCATCTAGCATGGCAATCACTCCATTGTAAACCTAAAATTAGCTACATCAAAAGCTTTGTGGTAGTTTGTAAACCCTAAAGGCTATTTTTACAAGGTAATAAAACTGTTACATTCATGTAAATATGTGTGCATATGTGTACAGATTTGTCCAATTGAAAATGAAAATGTCACTCCAACCAGCTGACCAAAGTTAGCAACCGTGGTTTAGGGAATAGACGGCGGCCTATGTGAGGACGATCGCTCCTGTTTTCACATATGGAATTAAAAGTTGGGGGTTTGTTGCTGTTCTCCACAGAGCAGTCAATGAAATGCAGTTACCTTTTGGGGTGGATGCAATGCTGAACCAGACACGAATGAAGGATATGTTTATGCTCTTGATTTTGACTGGAATAGGACGCATTCTTTTTTGTAGTTTCTGCAGGAAGTACTTACACTGCTGTAATCATGCAGCATATGCTGTATGTGTGCCAAGAGCCGTTGTGTTCATTTAGAATGTTTTTCTAGAATTGCACTGGTAATGTTAAGCTTGTTAACCATTGTACTAAAAGTGTGCATTCTCACTTCTAGCGGTTTTCTGCGATTATTATAACAGCCCCGATGAGTGCGAGTGGCATTATAGCCCCTGTCATGTACCCTGCTACAAGACCTGCCTCAACCAAAATGGCACCTGTGACTCCGCTCTCCCAAAACTGGAAGGTAGCTACTCAAGTCTCTCTTCATCCTTCTGCTGTCTTGTTTGATCTTGTACATCTGGCTATATCAAAGTTAAACTACCACACTGGCATTGGGTTCATTACTTGAGATGGCACACTGAGCTAAGTCATACCAAATATGGTTTGCTAGGCTGTTACCCCAGATGTCCACCAGAAACACCAATATTTGATGAGAAGAATCAGATGTGTGTGGAACGCTGTGATGGATGCTATATTAATGGAACTGAGTTCAGTCCTGGAGATGATGTTCCAACAGATGAACTTTGCACGTCATGGTGAGACCACATACAGTACATGGGTAGCTCAAGAGCTGATGTTAAAAGTTATAACCTTCAAAACAGTCCTCTAGAGACACAGTATTGTAAGTCATTAGGGGCAAATAAAGTTTTTTTTCCAATTTTTAGTAAGATCATTTTTTTATTAATGGAGATAAAGTTTTCATAGCACCTCATTAATCTTTTATGGATCTCTCAATTATAGTGTCTGTGACGGATATGAAAACATCACCTGTGTCCAAAAACCAGGTAAAATCCTAGATAGAGTTTCAAGAACTTTTCTCAATATGTGTCAACATATACTTTTAAAAATATAAACTGTGTTTATATAATTTATTTTCACAGGATGCTGCGTGTACAATGGAACTGAATACAAAGACAATGATGTCATTTATGATGTCAGTGACAACATGGGGATGTGCTACTTAGCTATCTGCATAAATGAAACTGTGATATTCACAGAAACGCCATGTAGTCCAGCACCACCAACAACCACCACCACAACAAAACCACCTCCACCACCAACTACCACTACAACAGAAACACCTCCACCACCAAGCACTACAACAGAAACACCTCCACCACCAACAACTACCACTACAACAGAAACACCTCCACCACCAAGCACTACAACAGAAACACCTCCACCACCAACAACTACCACTACAACAGAAACACCTCCACCACCAAGCACTACAACAGAAACACCTCCACCACCAAAAACGACAACAGAAACACCTC